AGAATGGACTATTTTAAATACATATATTTTGTATATGGAGCGAATGTAATAGAACAAAGGAAAACGACGCGCAGTGGAGATGGCTGGTAAGCCAACTCCCATTTAACCAAGCGTTAATCAATATTTATACTTGCACAACAGTTACAGACATGTGATGAGTAATGGGATAAGAAATGTACACACACCTACGCGCTCATATAAAAACAGTCAAGATTGATAAGCGAATAATTTACAAGGTCAGAATGCGACTCAAGTAGAATGAATAGAATGGGCTGTCCAAAAGCTACAATAAGGTACATAGGCTTAACATAATAACCGCCACTACATGCCTAGCGGCAAAAGATTTTTAAAAAAATCGAAGGAAAGAGGATGAGAACAGAGAATTATTGGTGTGGAAATGAAGGAACAGTCAAGTTTGAGACAATTGATTGACGTTTTGCAAATGAACTATTTATAGTATAGTTCTCAGATTTTACTAAGAGATTGTAATTTTGTGTGCAAATACATTCGATTGTCCCCCCCCGCCTCCGCCTGTGTTCTCGTTCACTATAATACCATTTAATATGTCGATATAATCGACCTTAAAACACTCACTTAAACACCAACATTCAATGATACAATTCCAAAACAGTGTCTTAACCCTATTTAAAAATGGTCTGACTTAAGCTAATATTTCGACATTTAGACATATTTGAATGTAAGAATATTGAAAAGTCAATCATCCTACGCTGTGTACTAAGATATCATTCACTTCATGATAATTAGTAGAAGAACAATCTTGCAAAATGTACAATTATTTTTATTGAATATTTATCCTAAGAGTTCTTTTCTTCCTGTAGAGAATAGAAAATTGTACAAGAAAAACAAGGAGGAAATAAATTGGGAAATTAACAGTTAATTTTATTATGGGCAAAGATGGATAGTGACTAGTAGTGAAATCCCGGAAACGTGTTTTTATCCTATTTGTGACTCTTCAGCTGGATGTACCTGCATCTCAGGGTTAATGTTCACTCTGGAACTTGAATCTAGTATCGTTTACTTCAAATGCCATCGAATTATCCACTTAGCTATTGAGTTCTGATAACAAACCGCTTGTGCAATGGGATGAAATTTAAATTCACTATCCATCATAGCTTACAAAAAGCTTGTGAATTAAGGCAATAGCGAGGTTATACGCACAGTATGTACATATGCCGATAACAGACTGATCAATTGCAGTACTAAACATCAGTGGGAAGATTCAAGTAAACAATAATATGTGAATTCACTTGGTATTATTTAGTTTATATCTTCCCATTGAGGTGTAAGACTACAATTGATCAGTCTGTTATTGGGATATGTGCATACTGTGCGTATGCCTTGATATTGCCTTAATTCACAAGCTTTTTGTAAGCAATGATGGATAGTTCCTAGCAGTAGAATCCAGAACGCGCGTTTCGTCCTATTTGAGACTGGTCAGCTGGATGTACCTACATCTCAGAGTTGGTGTTCACTCCGGGACTCGAACCAAGTAGATAAGTGATGAGGCGATGGCGTTTGAAGCGAATGGCACTAGGTCCGAGTACCAGAGTGAACATCAACTCTGAGATGCAGGTACATCCAGCTGACGAGTCCCAAATAGGACGAAACGCGCGTCCTGGATTCCACTGCTAGCCACTATACATCAATAATATGTGAAAGTAACTTTGTTATTTTAATAAAGTGAAAAGTGGGAGTATTGTCTAGAGAACTGCATGGATTGTATGTGTTACTCTTTTTAGAATTAACACATAGCAGAAACTATAGGAATTCGAGCTAACAATTCAAGTCTTTGTGTTCAAAAGAAATTTGTAACACCTTTATCTCTCCTTTGACCTTAATAAATGACCTTATTTACTATTGTTTTCCATACTTTCTTCGCTTTATTTTTCTTCACTCCTCACCCTTTTCTTTTCTCAAATATACGCTTCACGGTCCAATTATCTGAACATTTCTTATTGCGTAATCATATAATTTTTGTGAATGTTTTTTTCTGACCGTTAACCTAATTCCCATCATGAAACATTGATTCAAGCCTTCATTATTCTTGTCGCAACTAGTAAACCTAGCATCACACTACCAATTTGTACTTTTCACTTATTATATTTAACTATGTAATCTATTCCACTGTTATCATTGACTTATAGACTGCCTTGATTGGTTTAGAAATTTCTTATATGCATATAAATATTGCTGTATATTAAGGTAAAGCCTGATGAGGATCTAATCGAAAACAATATTGTTCACTTATATCTATGTTGTTCTAAATTACAATATGCGATTTTTTCAAATTTTGAAGATGTAAAATACTTATCGAATTCAAAATGCTTCTTTCAAATTTTTTTAAGTAAAATAATATGACGTTTCGTGACTTGGCGTAAGCTGCTTCTTCAAAGAATAAATAACTCCTCTACACTAAATTAATATGGGTTAATATGATTCTCTGATATTAGTATAAATGTATGTAGTCATAATTTCTCCATGGTTTTTTTTTAAAATGAGGATTATTACTATGGGTTTTAACATGACGTTTTCAGCACCCTGGATGTTCTTCGATGTTAGAATTACCTCAGTTTTTCTCCGATGGTTTAGGTATAAACCTAATATATAACAGTGAACAACAGCATATTTATCGGTCTCATGCGCTAACAAAACGGCCGTTCAATACTTCCAGGTTTTCCATAGTGGTCTAGCTTCAACTGACTCATGATCTCAACTATTAAAATTATTATAATATCCACAAAAGCTCCTTCTGATAGCAATAGAAGTCTGGCACAACTTTCTATCGATTATGAATAAATAGAACACATAACATCAGATGCTTAACTCATTCTCTATAAAACATACATAACAAATCTTTCACAGAACTGATTCAGTCATAGCCTTCTCGGAAGTCTATATATATAGTCGATGGTGAATAACAGGACTTGTTTATACGTCCATCACTCAAAAGTGTGATCATTTCTTGTGAATTTCGAAATAGGTTTATTCTGGAGAATGCTACTCTTATTAGTCTTTTTTGCTAAAGTTTTATTAAATACACGAATTGTAAAAAAGTTTTATTTCACACAAAATTCCCTCCATTCGAAACAATCTCTGTTTATGAGAATAATATTGACCTATCTTGTTTTTTATGGTTCTAGTTTTTAAAAGTTTTCAGAAGTCAAACTGTATAGCTACTTTACTATTTCACATTTTCCTAAAATTAGGTTCATTAGTATTTGTTCTGAGAGTGAATGAAAGACTGAGACGGATCTAAAACGTTTTCTGTTTTTATCAACACAAGAGGTCAGTGGTAATTTTGACATTATATCGACCTTAAAGTGTTTGTAGTCATCATTACAGCTATTGATCACACTTACTTTAGTAACAAATCTAAGGCCTTCATGTTTTTCGGTGAACGATTATTGTTTAGACCACTGAGTTAGTGTCCAAAAGATTACATACCTAACTTGAATGAACTTACTATACTGAACAAACATCTTCTCTTGTTTTCAATGAATAACTCACTCAAAATAATACAATCGAATTCAGCGGATCAATCTCTTAACAAAACTCTTGAAATTATTTTCAGTAACAACATGATAATTATCAGTATATATGATCCTCAACAAGATTGTGGATATCTATATACTATGACGACTATATACTAATTGAGTACTTCTTTATCAGATCAGTTTATGATCTGAATACATGATCAACACTTTACAATTAATAATATATCTAATCATTCATACAAATAGTAAGAAACAATAATAAATCCTTTTTTCCAACAAATTTATATTTACTAGTATAGGGGTTGTGGAAATTATTAAGTTTTTGGATGCCGGCTCAGTGGTCCAGTTGGTTAAGCGTTCGCGCGCGAGACCGAAGGCCCAGGGTTCGAATCCCGCGAGCGGGATCGTGGATGCGCACTGCTGAGGAGTCCCACAATAGGACGAAACGGCCGTCCAGTGCTTCCAGGTTTTCAATTGTGGTGGTCTAACATCAATCGGTTCATGATCTCAATTAAAAAATTTATATTTTGTTTTAAATCCAGAAATTATATCAATAATTCTAATATAATTATGATTAAAATATTTTGACAAATTAAAAAAAAAAACAATTTTTTGTTTCTAAGGCAAAAAGATAAAAGGTTGTCGGGATTTGTTTTTTAAAAAAAAAGAGAAAAAAAAGGAAACATGAAAATTATCAATATAAAATTACAATAATTGATCATAGTTTTTTTGTTTGTTTTTTTTTAAAAAAAGGGGAGGGGGAGGATTAAATTTTATTCACTAAATGAATCAGCTGACTAATTACAAAAACATTAATTTAATATTTTTTTTTTAAAAAAAAGGCGCCTAATCTACACAGATACATAAATAAATACATATAAACAAATTGTATAAATATATCGAAAAAGAAAAGAGTTTACGTTTTTTTTCTCTTCATAATTATTATCCTACTATAAGATAAATTGTATATTGATGTGTATATATGAAATAAATTTTAGTGTATCATTTGATGAATAAGAATGATCAACTAATTTAAACGAATCATTAATTGACTAAATACGAATAAACTACTTGGGATCCAAATGATATTCTATATATCTATCTATCAGTGATTATGTAATATAATAGAGGCAACTATGTAAAGGTGAATTAAAGGATTAGATATTAGAAAGTATTGTATGCTTTTTTTTGTGCGTATCCATATGTGTTTGTGTGTGTGTGTGTATAAATGTTTGAATTTAACGATGCTTTCGACGAAACAATTTGGATCCAACTGATATTCTATTCTATTCTATTGATCTCTCAGTGATTACATTAGTGCATAGTGATTATGTAATGTTATAGAGTCAACTATGTAGTAGTGAATTAAAGGATTAAATATTAGAAAGTATTGTATGCTTTTTTTGTGCGTACCCATGTGTGTCCATGTATGTGTGCGTGTGCGTGCGTGTGTGGATGTGTGTGTGTATATATAAATGTTTACATTTAACTATTTGTTGATGAAACAATTTGTTTCTTATTAGATCCAATAAAAAATACAGTAAATTGTCCAATAAAATTTAATAAACCTAATAACATAATGAATACATGAATAGAAACAATAAACCAATATTTAATTGTATCATGTTCTGATAATAATTTAATTTTAATGATTGATATTGTATCACTATGATTATCAATTTGTAATTCATGAAATGGTAAATGATCATCTTTAAAATTTTTTATAGAATTTATACTATTCAAATGATAATTACCATTTAATAATTTCTCTGAATGAATTTCAGATATTTTAATATGATTTTCATTTTGTAAACGAGTTAATGTACGTTTATTAAGTAGATAAATTAATGGTGGAAGTGTAAACATATAGACTAGACCACATAATGAACCACTAAATCTATAATGAGATAAAAGAAAACAAATAAATAGATGCATATATATGTATATAGATATAAATTGATAATTTAATTTAAGAACTGATATTAGTAATAATGAGGAAATCTGATTTAGTCTACCTGTCATAAACAATGTTGAACTTGATACAAATGTTTATCTGTTGATATTTGCTTCTGTTTCCCGACTTAATGTAATCTTTGGCCTTCATCTTTTCCGCTTCCCTTCAGGATTCCATGCTAGGGTTTGCCTCTTGATACAGTTTAGTGATTTCCATAATGTATGTCTTATCCATTTCCATCATCTTTTCACAATTTCCTCTTCAGCTGGAAGCTGGTTTGTTCCCTACCACAGTAGGCTGTTGCTGATGGTATATGGCCAATTGATGTTGAGTATCTTGCGTAGAACTCCGCCTGTAGCTCTTCCAGAGTTGCTGCCGGTCCCAAGCCCGGGTAAAGGAGAAGGGTTGGGCATGAAGTTAGCGCCCCATCCCGTAGAAAACTAACTCGCTAAAAAAGCACTTACCAGAAAAAATTTTATCTTGCGTAGACAACTATTTATAAATACTTGTACCTTCTTGATGATGGTTGTAGTAGCTCTCAAAGTTTCAGCTCCATACGGTAGAACTGTCTTGACGTTCGTATTGAAGATTGTGACCTTGATGTTAATTGAAAGTTGTTTTGAGTTTCATGTGTTCTTCAACTGTAGGAATGGTGTACTTGCCTTGCCAATCCTCGCCAATTGATAAATTAGTAGTCATGATCTCAGTCATAATAAAAAAACATTACCGGTAAGACTAAAATTTATGGAGTTTTTACGATCTTATTATAGCTTGAGAGGCCCACTATTATAGAACCATATGGATGAATTCCTCTACTGCATGCATCACGATTTTAGAACCTCTTTCTAATCTTGACAAGTTTTTTTACCATGTAAAAGAAGTGTATCCACTTCAATTCTATGGTTTTGTATAAAATATTTTTACTTTATATTATGTGTCACGTAAGACTCGTTCAAACATCATCCATAGATTATAGTCTCACCAGATTACAAATACAGAAAATGATTCAAAAGGAAAGAATGTTTTCGTTAAATTAAACGTAGAAAATAAGTTTGAAACACAGCATCTCAAAGAAAGTAAAAAGAGTATACACGTAATCCATTGTGAATAATTTGGTGTCATCTTATTCAACACATCAAACTTTAAATGGGGGATAATTCGTAGACCACAATCAATTAGCCTGCATCTATCAAGATAGTTCAGATCAATAGTTACTTCAGAAAATGTTTTCTAGTTTTGGTTTAACTACCACTAGCTTTATTTCATTCTATTTGTACACCAACCACATTCACCGATCAAGGTAGATAATAGTTTAGCACACGCAATACAATTTATAGTCAGTGTGGTAGATAAGTGACAATTTATATGGAAAAATTACTTCACAATGTAATGATTTTTAATAATATTGTTATATTTACGATTATTAACATAAAATGAGTAGAATTCCTTTCTAGAGACTGAATTCTTGGCACCTTGGAAATTTACTACTCGCAAAACAATATGCAAAACAATTAAATAGTCACATATGAAACAAACGGTGAAACACAATCTGTCAAAATCAGACTTCATTTTGTATACCTCTAGAAGTGAGGTATTTATAATCAACTTCAAATACAAGATTTCCTTTAACAATATATCAAAATATCTTTGGATTTACTATTATATTTGTGATATTTTAATAAATCCGATACTACCCGTTAGATTTATCTTTCCTCAATGTCTTCATTATTTGTGTGAGGTATTAAATAAACATGTAGAGTCCATGTGTTACATAGTTTTCACTGTTTGTACATCACTTGATCTCCATTGGTGGTCATTATCTTTGGTTATATTATATATTATTTAGAATTTTACATTCTAGGCAATTCTTGTTTACAGCGTTTCGGTTATCTTATACTAAACGCTTTTATTATTATTATTATTTTTGCATAAAATGAAATGTTAAATGAGTCTTTCAAAAGTGTAAACTGTTATGATGTTTAAATATTCAACTTAATTTGAGAAATTATTTACATATAGTTGTTGCTAACCATAGTAAAAGTGTTGATTTGGCTTTCGGAGAACTTCAACGGAGCCTCCAGAGGCCCAAAAGGAGTCGAAGAGTCCTAGCCAATCAGAGCATGATGGAGCATTCTAGAATTTCAACGTGGTGTGCTACTATTGGTCAGTAGCATAATATGTCGTTAACGGATTGGCCGGAATATGATGCTGATTTAACGTTAACATCTATAAATACCAATGTTTTCTGTACAGAAACGAACCTTGAAGTAAAGTGTTTCTCTCATACTTTGCGTCTTCTTTCTGGTGCTCAGGTCGCTGTGTAGTTCTAGCGTGCGGGTTATCAGAATAGCTGAGGAACGAATTTAGCGTCCAATCAGCAAGATATAACAAAAAGAAACTTTTATTCATCAAAATAGCTGAGATGATATCAATTTTACCTCACCTATGTCATAACTTTTACATCAAAATACAAGTTTCAATGTGATTATAATTTATTAATATAACTGACTGATCCATCGTTTTCTTTGTTAAACATAAATGTGAATAATTCACTAGTTTCTTTTGAGAAAATTCTCTTAATCTTACTGTTTCTTTTTTTCCGAAAATACTCAAGCATATTTCGTAAATTTTTCATAAAAGAATAATAATCTTGTTCATCCATCGGTATCTAAGTAATAAAACTTAATTTATTATGGCTTCTTAAAGTACTTAATTTAGGCAACAATGCTTCATTGTTATATCACATGATAAGATCACCTAGTAAACACATAGGGATAACATATGTCATCATAAAAGCTGTGAGCAAGTGCTTATATAAGTACAAATAAATACTAATTCCTACTATTATTTGGAATATATTGGCTGCAGTGATGAAGACACCTTGAAGTTGAGAAATACTAAATCAGAAATAGTTACGTTATTAATTTGTTGTTACTTATAAGTAGTGTAAATAAAAACTCGTAAATAATATTTTACGCATAGAGCTTTACTTGGTTAGACTCTAATTTATGGACGAGCCAATCAGAGGCGTTTTAGAGATTTCGAGGTTACGGCGCCAACTTCAGTGCTTAATGCTAACGTACTATCGGTTCACAGGGAATTTTGTACAAAACGTAATAACTGAGAGGCTATAACAAATAAAACGGCGGGACTATAATTTGTGGACGGATCAACCAGGTATAAGATAATAGATCTAGGATTTTAACGCGAAAGCCTTTCATTCATTTGGCTAAATAAATTTCTGGCATTATAGCTGATGTTAGTTCGTGATGAGAACCCCATATATTAATCCTAACTAAAGCAAATTACGAAAATTATTGCGAACTGGATAATAAAAGCACAAGTAACACTGGCTGCCGTCAGGCACTATAATATGTACGGATGTTTGGAGAGCGTACAGACTCCTACATAGGCTTTTTTATGTGCATCGTGTTGTTATCCACAAGTAGCATTTTGTACACTCAACAACCGGAGTGCATATAAACAATATTGAAGCTATGTGGTCGATGCTGAAAGAGTATTTGAGGCTTTATCATGGCTCCAGAGGCCGACTATTCTGTAGCCGTATGGATGATTTCCTCTACTGCATGCATTGCGATTTTAGAACCTCTGAACCTCTTTCTAACCTTGACAAGTTTTTGAACCACGTATAAGAAGTGTATCCACTTTATTTCCTTGGTTTTGTATAACATATTTCTACTCTATACAGACTGTTTTGCTGATTGGCTAATATTTCTCAAGGTTACTTAAGGTTCGTTCATAGGTCATCCATAAATTAGAGTCTCACCCTTTGCTCGATAGAAATTAATGAAGAAATCAATTATGAAAGAATGAAAAAAAAACTTATTTGTTCTTTCTTGATCATTTCATGGAAGCTAAATTCACAACTGTGACACTAACTATTTCAATGATGTAGAAGGTTAGTGTTAATATGTAAAATATAAATTATGTTTCAATGTGATAGAACTATGGATTAGTGAGTTCATTGTTAATTGTACTGTCCACAAATCCAGTAGAAGATTAGAACGAAAATCATAGTTACTTAATTGTAATCCAAGATGAATTATTCTTTTGAGTGAAATGAAAATGTTAGTATTTCGAAAAAAAAGAAGTGGATTTTAGGTATTATTATCATTAGCTATGATCACTATTTAGTGAGATCATAAGACGTAACTGATATTCATTTTCAATATTCATATGAGAATATAAATACTTTTTATCAAAATTAGGGTGTCAGGTTCATATGATGTAATCTACACACCTAAATGAACTAACAGGTAAATGTATAGAATTTATTAAGATAGTTTGATGTTAAATCATTGAAAATTACTATTGTATATATATATGTTGGTATTCTTTATTATATAGTCTCATGAAGATCCAGTTTCAAGCAGTTCTATAGTTTACATCACAATCATTGAAAACCGAGAAATACTAAACATTCTAAATAAATGAAACTAGAAACATGAACAATTGAATGTCAAAGCAGTAGTTTAAAGCTTTTAACTCAAAGCTTGAAAGTCCCTAGTTTGATTTCCAGTGAAATGTTCATTGCTGAGGATAGGATGAAATAACTATTCAATGCTTTCGATATTTTAGTCATTATCTAAATTAATTTGTAATGTGATACACAAAATTCAATGATACCATTAGACTTCATCATTTGAAAGCAATATTGTTTGTCTTCATGTTATTTTCTGATAATTTAAACTGTTGAAAACGCTCAACAAATTGATAACAAATACACACGTACAGAAGTCATCTTGCAAATTGTTATATCTCGATGTGATAATGATTGGTAACTTTTGGGATCCATTTATGTACCAATACTATACGTATATTTCTATCGTATAATTGTTTTGTAACTAAACTATTCATATTCATGTCCCTCTTGTTATGAGCTTTATTTTGACCCATGAACTATTATTATACGATTTATCATTCTTGAATTATACCCTGCCTATCAATTACTATCTCCCACATTCACAGCCACATTTGACTAAATCTTGTACAAATATTGTTTCCTACTTTATGGTACGATGTGGTCTGCTTGATTGGCATATAAACTCAGTATGTTAGAAATACATGACTCATATTTCAGAGGCTGAGACTGGTGTTCTGGACTTAAATGACTGGGCTAGGCGGGAAGCGGAATTGATAAGCACTTCAGACTGCTCGAACTTGTTTTGTGTATCATTGATCCGTTCGATAATTCACTGCTCTCTAATTGGCGATATCACTACGTTATACATTAATAAGGACACAGGACACAAGTTATAACACAAATAACCTACGATTGGTTGTTTTTTAATGTTAAATTTTTAGATAAGGTATCAAATTATATATGCCATTTTATGTTAACCTTTAATGATAACAATATATAGTTAACCAGACAAATTCTATGCCAATATTCATTACTATATAAGTATATTGTTGTAAAATTAATTAATCACATTTGAATAAATCGTAGAGTTTAACTCACCGAATTATGGTACCAATACTCGGCATTAACATTGAAAACGTTAATGATAGTCCAAGAATAAACACATGTAATACAGTAACATGAATAAATCTGAGATTTAAAAGTAATAAATGAAAAAAAATTTTTTAATAAACAAATAAGCAAATAGTTAGGTCAAAAGGGATTTTGTGTAGATTTTAGTAATTTCAATAGTTTAGATCATGAGTCACTTGAAGCTAGATCACCATGAAAAACCTGGAAGGAACTGGATGGCCGTTTCGTCCTTGTATGGGACTCCTCAGCAGTGCACAATTACGATCCCGCCCCTGCGAGATTAACATCGTTGGATGCCGGCTTAGTAGTCTAGTGGTTGAGCGCTCGCGCGCGAGACTGATAGGTCCTGGGTTTGAATCTCGCGAGGAGCGGGATAGTGGATGCACACTGTTGAGGAGTTCCATACAAGGATGAGACGGCCGTCCAGTGCTTCCAGGTTTTCCATGGTGATCTAGCTTCAATTGACTCATGATTTCAACTACTGAAATAGTTAAGTATAAATTTATTAATTAAACACGTTCAAAAGATTATATTCTGTAGCAGCTGTCCAATTTCAGTCGTTGGTATTTATAAAAATTGCTGGCTGTTCGGCGCATAGTCAAATTTGAGGTGTTAGATAGTTGCAAGTAGTACATGGAACGCATTGTTTGATCTACGTTTCACATTACTTGTCACTCGTCTGTATAGAGTGCCTCCAATTTTGAGGGAATTGATTATTCTTATAGAAGACAAACCAGAGTCACCTAGATTCACTGTCTGAGATGTCATCATTCATTTCATTTATTTTCTTAATGATTGTCTGTAGGACTAAAATATTCACAGTTAATCTATCATTGGTTGGTGACCAATATGATATTTGTCTGGTCTTGAACACAATGTATATAATCTTAAAGTACTTAGACTAGTAGGTTTAATATAGTCCAATCAACTGAATTCGATCATGATTAAAGGACTAGACAAACATGAAATTGGTCACTATTGAATATTAGCTAAATTGTAAATATCTATTTGATGAATAAATTGTCCAATAATTGAATCTACCTTAACAATATATCAGTCAAATTTATCACACCCAATAAGTAAATACAGTCAGCTAAACATTGTAAAATAGAGAAAAACTTTAGTAAATTCTTAGATGATAGAAATTGTCAAACAAAACAAATTTTTGAAACATAACAATATGATACATATAGAATGATGCTTTGAGCCAAGAAAGGTATATAAGTTATGAAAAAAATACTGTCCATAAACGATGTGGAATCATAAAATGATTCAAATACTAAGTAAGAAGGGATAATGCTTTTTGTCATTAAAATCAACTAAACAGTCAGTCAACTCCAACATAGGACCAAGCATATGTATGCATCGGTCTAAGTTGCCATACCTCATAAGCATAACAAGATAAACACTGAATTCATAGAAGTAGTTAATTCAATGATGGTAATATATGAATGAAAACTTTGCTGATTACATTCAACTTCAATGAAACAAGTAATTCCAAGTCTTTGTCTTATAGAATATATCATTGTTAACATTGTTTATAATAAATTTTAACTTCGATCATCATTATTCATTAGTTTCACATTTTAAATGGAATGCAACTTTTTCAATAAATAAAGATCATACAGTCGTGTAAGAACTGAGTTAAAAAAAAAGAAAGAATAAAAGACACATTACAACAGTTTTGACTACTGGTAGTTAGAATCTTCAAACTTTGTATACGATTTCAATCAGGTGATTGAATCTAGTTTTATATTCCAGGGAGAGAAAATACTCATTTTATAAGAGAAAATAATAATAATAATAAAATACTTTGAGAAAGAATAACATTTTACTGACTTACCCTGGATATGGTTTTTTGAATATAGCAGTCATAATTTGTACACGTAAAACATAAAGAATCATTGGAAATACAGTGAACATTTGTAGAAGTGAAAAGAAACGACCAATAAATACTGGTATATCTGTTACTAGATTGTTTAGAAGATTCTAAATAAGTTTTAGCACGGAAAAAAGAAAATAAAAAGAGGATAACAAACATTGGCATATAGGTACGAATGAATTATATTTTATCTTAATGATTTGCTTTCATTAAACAAATGGATCTAGATTCACTTGGTATTGTTTTGGCTTGTATCTTCCCATTGAGGTTTAAGACTGCAAATGATCAGTCTGTTATTAGCATATGTGCATACTGTGCATATGCCTCGATATTGCCTTAGTAAGTCCTGTCTTCAAAACAGGTACGAAACACAAACCTGAGAACTACCGCCCCGTTAGCCTAACTAGTGTGGTTGTTAAAATCTTAGAAAAGATTATTCGGAAGGAGCTGTTTAAGTATCTCGATAAAAACCGGATCCTCTCGGAGAAGCAGCACGGCTTCAGAATAGGTTATTCTTGTCTCACTAACTTATTAGTGGCTCGTGAAAGCTGGTGCGCTCTTAAGGACCAAAAGCTACCTGTAGACGTCGCCTTCATTGATTTCAGTAAAGCTTTTGACAAAGTTCCGCACAACCGGCTGTTATATAAGTTAAGAAAGTCGGGATTGGAGGCAATTTATTGATGTGGATAAAAGACTTCTTAGTTGGGCGTCAACAAAGAGTAAGGGTGAACTCAAAGTTATCTAGCTGGGAAACTGTGCTTAGTGGAGTGCCCCAGGGTACAGTTTTGGGGCCAGTGCTATTCCTCTTGTATGTAAATGACCTTCCTTGTCTCCTATCATCATCGGTCTTGCTATATGCTGACGATGTCAAGATATGGAAAACGATACGATGTAAGAGTGATAGCTTAGAACTTCAAAATGACCTGAAGAAGTTATCTGAATGGTCTCAAACATGGCAGTTGCCGATAAATACTTCCAAGTGTGTTGTGATGCATATCGGTCATCAAGGCACAGATACATACACGATGAATAACACTGAGCTACCTGTCGTCCAGACATATAATGACTTAGGAGTTATCGTTAGTCAAGACTTAAAGACTACTGCACACTGCCGTGCAATAGCCGCCAAAGGTTTTAGAACGTTATGGTCAATACGTAGGGCTTTTAGTCATGTCGACGCCAAAACGTTTTTGACTTTGTATACAGTGTTCGTTCGTCCTAAACTTGAGTACTGCATACAAGCGGCTAGCCCCTGCTTAAAAAAGACAGTGAGCTTCTGGAAAAGGTTCAGAGAACGGCGACTAAGCTGATTCCCGGAATAGCGAAGCTTCCGTATGAATCTCGACTGGCCAAGCTGAACCTTTTCCCGTTGTCATATCGCAGAACTAGAGGCGACTTGATTACAGTTTTCAAATTGCTTAGTGCCAAATTTGCACCTAATATGCCCTCATTTTTCTTGTCTTCCAAAACAGAGAATTTACGAGGACACTCCAAAAAAGTTCATTAGCCGAGAACAAATTACTTGTCAGCTGACCATCGACTTTCCCATCGAATCATCAACGAGTGGAATTCACTACCTCAGCACGTGGTTGAGGCTCCATCCGTCGACTCTTTCAAAAGAAAGTTGGATCAACTGAGAGACCACTATTGCCAGGACTAACATAGGCCATCGAGCCTCCTGTCCTTCCCAAACTGAAACTGAAACTTTTTGTAAGCTATGATGGATAGGCAGTATCAAGGCATATGCACAGTATGCACATATGCCAATAACAGACTGATCAATTGCTTTCCTAAACCTCAGTGGGAAGGTACAAGCCAAAACAATACCAAGTGAATTTAAATTCATCCCATTACACAAGCAAGTGGCTATCAGGACTCAGTAGCTGAGCGGATAACGCGATGCCGTTTGGAGCGAATGGTGCTGGGTTCGAGTGCCAGAGTGAACATCAACTCTGAGGTGCAGGTACATCCGACTGATGAGTCCCAAATAGAGCGAAACGTGCGTCATGGATTCCACTGCTAGCCACTATCCATCATTGCTTACGAAATGGATCTAGATATTACAGTTTATAACAGGTTCTATGTACTGTAACAAATCATGAATACTTGGTCATGTTACTTTTGTTGCTCACTTCTGTCAAGAACTCTATTAAATAATTAAGTTTACCAGCAATAAGTAATTTATAACTAATTGGTTAGTTGGAAGTATCCACTAGTGATTAAATGAATAAATAAACAATTTTCGTTAAGATGTCTTTTCCATACATAATGTATGAGATACAAACATTAGGTAATAGTCTACATTAATAGAGAAAACGATTGAACGCTTTTCGAGAGATTTGAAGTTCCTGAGTTGGAATCTATGTTGGGCCATAGACGCGTATTGTTGACCAATCATATACTACAGTCAAACAACACTTCACTGCTGGTTTTCAATGATTGTCCATCTTGGGTCAGTTCGTGATATTAAACATATGCAACAATCCCAATGAATTGATAACATTAAGAAGAAAAATAAATTTACATAGTTTTATATGGATTTTACTAGTGCCAATATATGTACATGGTTATCATCATGAATATAACAATACAATATTATCCACAATAATGTAATCTAAATTGACATTATTTTATTTGTACATAGTTCAAACTAACATGTCTAGAGTCAACAACCAGTAGAACATTAGAGTTAACAATACTTTTAGTGAGGATTTAGAAACTGTGTGTAACTGATATATTTGGAATAAGTATGTTAAAACTGGACTTCGTTCTTGTATGATGTGGTCGAAAAACGCACTCACCTTCCCTTATATCATCAGATGTACAAATAAATGTAATAAGGAAACATGGTACTTTTTGTAACAAGAAATATAGTAATTATTAGATGAATTTACAAATTTAGTCTTAAAATGAGTTGATAATCAATATATGTTTGAAAATCCCTGCACTTATCAACCAATGAAAGGAGCTTCAATTAAACAATAAAGAAAAAATCTGGGTCCCGCGAGCGGGATCGCATTGCTGATGAGTCCCAAACTGGGACGAAACGGCCGTCTAGTGCTTCCAGGTTTTAAATGATGGTCTAACATCAACCAGTTCAAGATCTCAATCAAAAACGTAATAATCTCCATAATCCTATACTGATGATCACTATGATTGAATTTGAACAGTAAGATGGATTATTTCCAAAGACCAATTAGTACCATTTGATTTCTGAAATTATATTCATCATTTGATAAGTAAACATTTCTCATGTACGGCATAGTTGAATACTTTTTATTTCTTCAATAATTTCGATACTCAAAAGTCTGCCATTACCGATGAAACCCTTACAGAAATAAAATCTTCATAAGACTAAAACCTATCTTCGGTGTAGAGATTGTAACAACTTAAATTTTGATGTTTTTAGACTGTACTTAGCGTAAAAAAATATACTAGAATCGTTTTTGAATTACTGTTCTAAAAATTCAGGAAACTCTTACATGTTTTATGCTATCACTTAACAGTACTATTTTGGAGACTCTGGGTGACATAACTCAGAATCGATCACAATAACGTAGGTGTATACACTTTATCTTCTATTAAACTATGAAATTAAAATCGTTTCATATCTTTCTTTCTACCAACTAATTCTTTCTTCCTGTACCATGTCCTTATATGCATTCATTCTTTTATATATTATTACTATTGAATTAACTACTTCTATGAATTTGCTGTTCATCTTGTTGTGTTAATGAGGTATGGCAACTTGGACCGGTGCACATATGTGCCTGGTCTAACGTTGTAGCTGACTGACTGACTATGTTATCTAGAAACTTTAGATCAATGTTTCTTCAGTTTGGAGATTAGTTTTTAAAAACATTAGAACAGTTTTATTTTTTCAATAATATGGACCTTGTATACAATGAATTTGTTGAAAATCAAGAATACAATTAAGGTAGAAAAGATTTTTTGTGATATTTCCTCAGCTACTTACAACCATATTCATATTGAGATATTAAATTATAGACATTAATGATTGGGAAGTAACTATCAATTATATTGAACTTATATTATTCTAACTTAATTGTTATTCTAATCTTATTCATAGTAGACTTCATTTGATAGATAATAATTGACTATAAATTTCGACCTTCTTACGATAAAATAAAAATAATGAATTCCAAAAAACCCCATCTGATAATAACCATCTGCTCACTAGTGACTGACTTCAAGAGATACTCCTGGAGTTCTAGTGAGAAGCCGTTACCCGTGGAGTTCAACCAGGTCGGTTGTGAGATATCAACTCACTGAAGACAATGGTATACGATGGTGCAACTTCGTGGATTGGTTGAAGTTAGACATTAACACCACTGGACACCGGCTGGCTCAGTGGTCTTGTTGTTAAGTGCTCGCGCGCGAGAGCCGTAGGTCCCAGGTTCGAATCTCGCAGGGGTGAGGTCGTGGATGTGCACTGCTGAGGAGTCCCATACCACGACGAAATGGCCGTCCAGTGCTTCCATATTTTCCATGGTGATCTAGCTTCAATCGACTCATGATTTCAACCAGTGAAATTTCTAAAATCTCCACAAAACCCCTTCTGATAATTCCAAAATAATAAATAAATAACCACGTAGTCAAATACATAAAAATAAACAATTAATCTAATTGTTTCTGTTTAGAAGATAAAAATAAAGAAACTTACATCTTCAATGCATGATTTCGCTAATGGAAAAGTGCAATAGAATATTAAACCGATAGACAAATAAGTCGCTGCTACTAGAAGAAATGCAATAGCCACATCTCGCGTCTGAAATGAATACATATAAAAAAATGAGGAATTATATTACTTTTTTAATTGAATATGAAAACTACATAATAAATAAAATAATTGAATTGTTAAGTCATAACAAATTGATCTCATAGTTTATATTACAAACTTGTTTTAAACAAACATTGAAAAGTGAAGATTACTGAACTGCTGTTTCATACTAGTATGTTATTTCTCACCTCTGGATATTCATGATTTTACTCGTGACCGAACTCAAGACTTTTCATATTTACAGATAGCGCTTAAATTTAAGACCACCGAGTCAGCATTTAGTAGCTTATCAATCGAACTTCAGTTGATTCGCATACTGTGTAAGACCATTTTGCAATATTATCGATGGGTGAATGGCTCATACTCAACATGGTTAAGCTCTTATTGTCACAACTTCTCACAAGAACTCCTGAAGTCATATCTCAAAATCAGTTGTTAGTAAGTACATGATCAGAATGTGATCAGATATGATCAGCACAAATCCTCCCCCATATTAATGAATTGAGAATAAATTTTGAGTACTTCAAAAAATGTTCGATTTCTGGTAATAATATCCTTGATAATATTAAATGGTGAAACGATTTAGACAAAAAATTATTTGTATTAGAAGGGTTTTTGTGGTTATTTTATTTATTTATTTATTTGAACACACAAGTATTGGTTAAAGAGGGTACCAAATATATATGCGCCACACAAAACAATGAGAGTGGAAAGTACTGGACGGCCGTTTTGTCCTTGTATGGGACTCCTCAGCATTGCGCATCCGCGACCCCGCCTTGAGGTGTTTGAACCCAGGATCCATCAGTCTCGGGTGCGAGCGCTTAACCATTAGACCACTGAATCGGTATCCAATGTTACATTTCCAGGATTTCCATGGTGGTCTAGCTTCAAATGACTCATGATCTCAATTACTGAAAAAAAACATTTCTCCAGTTCTTTGCAGTAAAGTTTAGTCTAAAGCGTTAATCTTTTATAATGAATATATATGAAAACTAGAAACCAGAGGAATTTCATGTATTCAATTTAATTAACAATTAGCAAGAATTGCCTTCTTGAGGATTTTTACTGTTATAGATTTAGAAGGATATGAAATTATTTACACATGTATGAAACCATTTCCCTACCAATCATATAGGAATACGGTTATGTAATATCGTAACCTGATTAAAATTAGTCATACAAATTATTTTCTCAGTGACCTTAAGGTTAAGGGCTGACCACGATACCGAAAGATCTTGGTGTCAATCACTGATTCCATAGTCGGTAAGCATTGTTAATTAGTTCCATATTTTCTATCTTCTGGTTTATTATTATTGTCTAATTAAGACCACATTATTATTATTATTAGAGGCTTTATTCAATGTTATATTTTTGGTACAATATAGAATTTTCAGCATAAAGTATTTCGACAAGTTTCATTTTCTTATCTCTTGATCGATCCTCGAGATGAATATTCAGTAGTCGCCAGTTGGATGTTAGTAGTTCAGGAATCGACATCTGAATAATATACATTCTTTTCAATGCATACTTCTGCCAGTAACCACGATGTCTCTGATTGGGCTCTTTTGCAGCTTGTACAGAGGAATATCGTAAACTTGTCATAATTACACCTGAATAAATTATGAAGCCAATAAACATAATGATGTGTTAAAACAAACAAGAAAACAGATAACTTGTTGACATATCTAGTTGGCAGGAACAGGTAGCCCAGATATTCTTCATGTAAACTGTGTAATTTTCGGTTTCTTATTTGTAAGACACTTCAAATTGTCGAATAAACAATCAAATTTAAATAATTTAAATAGTTAAGATCAAATGAGTGAATTAAAGCTAGACCACTATAGAAAACCTGGAGGCACTGAACGGTCGTTTCGTTCTATTGTGGGACTCATCAGCAGTGCTCATCCATGATCTTGCCCGCGAAATTCAAACCCAGGGCCTTCAGTCTTGTGCGCGAACGCTTATCTAACCTCAACACATTCATTTTATTTAACTGTTCAAAAGGGCATAATAATATAATGTTAATGAAAACAACAAATACATGCAAAACACTTAACAGATTTAAATTCACTTACATTATTCTCCGGTCGTTTTTGATTACGTGTCAATGTATGTAAAGTGTTGTGACAGAAAAATGCCAGTGAACATATACCAGTTAAACTAATGAATGTAGTTTGTGCTTCTAAATAATAAAATGTATATATGATAAAAGATTTCAAACAATCTACGTATCACTGTTTTCTTTCTATAAAATAAAATTGTAGTACTGGAAGACTGCTAATAAATATTTGCTCACTGTAATACTTTAATTTTTTCATTATGAATTTCATTAAAATCATGAATCGGTATAAATTAGTCCATCAATGAGAACCTAGAATCAATAAACGGTTATTTAATTCTAGTATAGAACTCCTTAGCAATGCATATCCACGATGCCGAACACAGGACTTTCGATCTTACGCGCGAACGATTAACCTTGAGACCATTGGAGTCAGGATCTATTAATGTTAATGTCCAACTTCAATCTATCCATAATATTTCGCAACCACTTTCTATTGTCTTCAGTGGGTAATTGACTTATATCCGATACGAGTTAGCTCCACTTGTAGTATATAACTTTGCTAGCCGCAATAAAATAATTAGGACAATTATTGTTTCCTAAACTGTGATATTATTTCACAACACAGTGGATTTGAATATCAGATCGTATACATTTTATTCTAAGATTTATGAAAAGCATAAAATAACTCTCTTGTTATTTGATTTACGAATTCTTCTACAACATACCTTCAAGGCTGAATTGAAAGTAGAACTTACTTAAAGTTCATCGCTCTCCTAGTTGCTTAATTTAATTACCTTTTAAGAACACAACATCAATATACACTTCTTTTTAAGATATCTAGCTATGATAATAAGAATTCATGATTAATCCATCCAGTTGAAAACACTGAATAGTTAATTCATTAACTAAAATCTTTTTCATTATCATATTATTATTTACTCATTTATTAAATTGTATTCTGATTATGAAAAACATTCAGTTTTCCAATATATAAATAACAACAACAATCACTATGTGTGCCCATTGAATGAGTTTATGGATTCATTATTCAATCTGTCTTTCTAGTTACTTTCAATGTGATTCATCATTTAAAATACAATTATATAAGATTTTTGATTGAGATCATGAACCGATTGATGTTAGATCACCACCTTCGGAAACCTGGAAGCACAGGACGGCCGTTTCGTCCTATTGTGGGACTCCTCAGTAGTGAGCATCCACGATCCCGCGAGCGGGATTCGAACCCAGGGCCTTCGGTCTCGCGCGCGGACGCTTAACCAACTGGACCACTGAGCCGGCATCCAATGGTGATAGTTTCTAACATCAACCAATCCACGAAATCGCACGACCAACTTCCGTTGTACTGAGGTAGATTTCTTTGAATACTTTTCATAATTGATAAGCATTAATATGAATCAGTATTATTTATGAAAAAGAAGAAAAACACTTAAAAAAACCATTGTGTACATAGATTAGCAAAAGTCAACATTACAGTTTCTAATAGTAACACTTGAAAACAAAAAAAACGGTATGAAAAACAAACATGTAATTATCTACAAGTACGTATATGAACTACATTTTGTTCATAATACATTTCATAGTTATGTTATGCATGTTTTTTTTCTCTCTCGATTTGATATATTTCAAGTATGGAATTTAGTTATTTCAAAGAGTAGTTAACGTATTTACAAGTCAACTTCTCCTTTGATGAAATGTGTGTATGTTAGCATGTATATTTAAATCAACAAAAAAATTTATTCAGTCAGTCAGCTAAGACGTAAGAACAGGCAAATTTGTGCATTGGTCCAAGTTGACATACCGCATTAGCACAACAAGATCAACAGCAAATTCATAGGAGTGGTTAAGTCAATGGTGGTAATATATAAAAGAAAGATTGTATATAAGGCCATAGTGCAGAAAGAAAGAATTAGTTCGCAGAAAGCAAAAAATGAAGCAATTTTAATGTCATAGTTTAATAGAAGACAAAGAGTGTATACACCGACACCATTGTGATCGATTCTGATCCATGTCATCAAGAGTCTCCAACCATTGGTTACGATAGTCAGCCAGACCTCAACCAAGTAGTCTGCATTTAACAACATGGCTCAGACTAGAAGTTAGTGACTTCAAGCACTGATGCCACGTTTTGGTTTGGCCACCCCTAACTTTCTTCCAACTGTCTCCAATATTAGCCAGCATTGAGCGTTGTGGTAATCGGTGTTCGGGCATACGTAACACGTGGTCCAACCATCTCAGTCGACGAAGATTCACAATCTCATCAACTGATTTATCATCATTCCCTAATGCCCTGCATCTAACCTCACTATTACTTACCCGGTGATCCCAGAAGATGGGAGCAATATTTTTAAGGCATCCGTGATCAAGCACTAGTAGCTTATGAATTTCTTTTACTCTTAATGGCCATGCTTCGCAACCGTAGAGTAAAACAGAACGAACTGCCACACAGTATACTCGTCCCTTAATTGATTAGACGGATATCTCGCCCTTTCTATGCATGACGTAATTAGACAAAAGCCGAACTGACTGACGTAATAAAGAGTAGTGAAATCATAATAGATATAAAGTAGTTGAAAGTAACGGGAAGTAAACCTATGTTTTATGCTAGATGGCATTCGCTAAAAAGGCACTACTTCTACACTTCAACTAAAATAAATGAAAAAAAGCGTGAATTGTGAGTAAGAACTCTTCTGCAACATTGGACACAAACATAAGATCGAGTGTGCTTCTGAAGTTGCATGTAATTCAATTGCTCTGGAACTTTCTGATCGTGATATCTTAATCATAAACATTATCTGTGATTCTTCATTTTGTTGATGTTTCTAAAACGTTTCTACTGAATAGTGATTAAGTGAAGCCTTTTCTGATGATTACTAAACTTCTGAAAAATTTGGTGAGGCATATTTTTGGATTCATCAACATGACCGCCCAACTGTAAAAGTACTATTATATACCTTTGTCTTCATTCATGATTACGTCACTTGGTTATTATGATCACCTATACAGTCAAGTCATTCTAAAAGAATTTTCATCTTCACTTAAGCTAATAATTTCATAATAGATGGATGTCTAGTTTATAACAAACATTTAAATTATATTATAATATTAAAATTCTGATCAGCTGAAGTTGAAAGCAACTCCAATGTTTGACACAGCAGTCTATTTCGAGTTTCTTCAGGGGATAAAAGCTCAAATCATCCTATCAAAAGTAAGGTAGAAATTATTTTTAATTCCAATCACTGAGATTTTTACAATCATAATTACCATTTTAATAGCCAAAATTTGTTTGGAAAAATTCAGGTTTAATTTTTTTATAAAAGAAAATTCTTATCTATTATGCCTATGCTTCTTCACGAGGAGTAACAGGCGTAAGTAAGTAAGTAAGTAATAAAATATTGTTCATGAATAGAATAGTTATCTAGTGATTCTCACTGTTTCTGAAGAACACGTTGCTTTATGTTATATTGGGATGTAAAGAACGGATTACAAATACGCTATAGCTTTGATAAATTCAAATTCATGAATTAGCAAGCATCAATCTACACCAAAAAAACAACACTTTCGGTCAAAAAAGTTATTCACTTCCTTTTCTACACTCACGAAGATATCTTCAGAGGTTATTCAGGTAATTGTATGGTGACATGAATAATGAAAAAAAAGCTTGGTGTATCGACCAGTGAGTGTGGAAAAATAGGCACACAACTTACTGACTATTAAATATGTAATTTCTTTCCGTGTTATATCTTTATGAAAATATACAAAATACACTAGTATCAAACATAGTACACACAGTCATATTTCATGAAATCAAAGCCTCATACTACAGTAATATTCAACATTTATTTAACAGGTTATCAAAGATCTTTTCGAATACTTTGAAGAACAATATCGAAATTAATTCTTTAGACTTTAACCAAAGAAATAGCTTCCGTTTTTATAGTGTTTACACTTTTCGGGAATAAACCTTTTTTTTATGAAGATAATTTATACTTTTACCTATAGTGAATCTCTTCAAGTTATGAATAATTATTATGATACCATGATAAATTACTAATATGAAATCATTAATATGAAATAAATTAATCTTATGAACTCACGAGGTACAATTCTATAAGGATGTTTAGATGAAAAATCCATATTTATTCCCCATTGACCAGCTTTCAAACAAACCAATATGACCAGATAGAATACACATATAGTACCTGAAGTTATATTAAATATAATCATGTCATATTACTGAGAGAAAAAACAACTAGATAATGACGATTGCAAACAAAATAATGGATAGATTTCATGCCAAGTTATCAGTTGGAATATCTTGAATCAAATACACATGATTGAAACGCCATATTTTGATGTTGTGATCAAATAATTAAGTATAACATGCACACATTTACATTGATATCAGACCACTTGTCTTCAAAGTTATGTTACTAGGAAATTTGTAATCACTTATTCGCAAAAAATAGAGGTAATTGACTGCTAAAGTTATAAATACATCTAAGAGCATTGTGAAAGAGACTTAAGAAAGATTTTCATAAAAATGTAATCTCTTTATTGATTAAAATCACAAAAATCAAAGTACTTTTGATGCATTATGGAAAAACAACTTCTCATAATGAGTTGAAAGTATTTCAGCCCATCAAATTTCATCTTCGATATCATAGTATAGTATATTTGTCAAATTGTTTATGTTAAAAAATCTCTTACTGTTGAAACGTAATACTCTTGATGAACAAATTATACTTTGTGAAGGTGAATGAGTAATATTTTTATGCCCTGGGTTCGAATCTCGCGGGGTAGGATCGTGGATGTGCACTGCTGAGGAGTCCCATACAAGAACGAAACAAATCTCCAGGTGCTTCCAGGTTTTCCATTGTCGCTTAGCTCTAACCAACACATGAATTCAACCATAAAATTACTAAAATCTCCATGAGACCCCTTCTGATAATATATTTAAGTTAAAATATCAGTTGCTAATTTACAGCTTAATTTTTAAGTCAGTAAATCAGACAAACGGTTAATTGTAGTGTGAAAACAGTCTGAGTAATTGATGCAAATTGCTAATCTCAACGGTTACTATTAGGCATATCAAACACATTCTATTCACTTGATAATTTTTACTTGAATCTTCTCAGTGATGTTTGGCACCGCAATTGATAAGTCTTATTGGTATATATGCATAATGTGCGTATTGCATCGATATAGCCTTAAATCACATGCTTTTTAAGCATAGTTAGGTAGTGGCTAACAGTGGAATCCAGAAAGCGCGTTTCGTCCCATTCGGGACTTATCAATCAGATATACCTGCATCTCAGAGTTGATGTTCACTTTTGAAGCGAACGGTACTGGGTTCGAGTCCCGAAGTGAACATCAAATCTGTAATGCAGGTAAATTCAACTGACTAGACTCAAATAGGACGTAACACGCATCGTGGCTTCCACTGCTAGCCACTATACATCTATGCTTAAACACATTCTATGTTTTTAAATGATTATTTAAGTTTATCTTATTACAAATATTTGTGGTGACTTGCTATAAAACAATTTCTAAAAGTTCAACACTGTCTTTTTAGAATAATCATAGTAATATATTAGATACAACATTTTCGATGAGACTATGATTTAGATTTAAGATAACAAGTATTGAATTTTAGCGCAAAATTCATTCATCCGAATACTTAAATAAATTTCTGGCATTCATAGCTGATGTCATTTTGTGATGAAACTCTTAACTCTAAATACTAATCTTAATTCCTCGAAATAATCTATAACCCTCTCTCTTCAGACCATATTAGGTAGGTGACTTTTCACATGGTCACTGTGGCTTTGTTGAAAGTTTATCCATATATTATAATTTGATTACATTTTCTATACTAAAACTGATAATAATGAAGAAAAAAGATTCATTTGAGTAAGAAAAAAAATCTAAACATCTAACAAATAATGAATGTTTAAATTTACTCACCAAGTGCATTGAATTTACTTAAAAATGTAGGTGATTTAATAGAAATCAATGGAACAACAATAATTAAAAGCCATGCTGGAACAGTACGAGTTTTTGACCATAAACGATTATAAGTAGAAATATGGTCAGTGTTCAATGAATTATTAAATGCTTCATGATTATAATTCAAAGAAGGTGTTGTAATATTTCATGATCTTTATTTGGAACAAATGGTAAGTTGGAACATGTAGCTAAGATAAATAAATGAAAATTAATTTATTGAAATTATAATATAATTATGATATCTTTTGTATTTAGTATAAAATCAGTGAGAGAATACATTCATCAGTAGATTTATCATTTATATATTTCTAGATAAGTTTAATGGATAATAATAATTTCTAGTTTATCAGAATGGGTTTTGTGGAGATTGTAGTAATTTCAATAGTTGAGATCATGAGTCAATTGAAGCTAGACCACCATGGGAAGCCTGGAAGCACTGGACGGCCATTTCGTCCTATTGCTTAAGTAAACGATTTTGTCGAAAACAGAAGTTTCTTCACTGAATTCTATTTCTTTTCAATGACACAATGGATTATTTTACTTATCTGAAAACTCAAATAATTAATAAATTATGGATGTTCACTATATTCGTCAATGATTTTTTTTTAATAATCAGTGGTCCAGAGTTCAAACGTTCACACGTGAAACGAAAGGTTATGGGTTCGAGTTCGTGGATGCTCACTGCTCACGTCTCATACTAGGATGAAATGGTCGTCCAGTGTTTTCAGGTTTTCAATGCTGTTCTAGATTAGATCAACTCATGAATTTAACAATTAAACAAAATTGAATTTAAATCCACTTGGTGTGGTTTCACTTGTATCTTCTCATTGTTATTTAGGACTGCAATTGATCCGTCTCATGTTGGAATATGCGAATCCTGTGCGGATTGCCTCGATATAGCCTTAAGTCAGGACTCAGTAGCTAAGTGGATAACGCCATGGCATTTGAAGCGAACGGTACCGGATTCGAGCTTGTAGCGAGTATCAACTCTGCGATACAGGCACATCCAGCTGACGAGTCCCAAATAAGACGAAGTGGCACGCGTCATAGATTCCATTACCAACCACTATCCATCTTTGATTACAAATTAAATTTGTTTAAATGTTGTTTTGAGTTGTTATTTCAATTGCCCACATGACTATTTTCTTTGTATTTAGTTACTACGAAGAAAACTAAATTTAAAAGTGAAGTGATTTATTTTTCTCTCAAAGTATATATCATCTAAATAATATGTTTACTACAACTACACTTATGAGTAATGACATAATTGAAAATCCTATTGAAAGTAATATGTAATTCATTATTACTGTACAAGCATGTATTCACTTATAAATTCTATCATCTGATTAACATACTTGAAAATCTATTGTGAAAATAACAATTTTTAACAGTTCACTATTGTAATAGACGTTTATACAATCAAACTTTATGCATTGTAAACCACGTTTTTTTATATTATTGAATAATTTCATGCAATGGATCTTTTGTCATCAAGTCGAGAAAGGACTTTTAGTTATGTTCTTTGAAACATATTCATTGTGTTTCCAACGTCATATTTCAGAACTTTAGAAGTTGTTTGTTCATCAGTCAAATTGAAAAACTTCAAGATTCAACCTGGTGTGTGTTATATTCTAATTAGGCTTCTCAAGGTTCTTAATTTTCTTGATAGAATGGTATATGGAACATGTTCAGTATTCCTTTAAGAATAATTATTACTTAACGAAATTTTCAAATGGTAAGGATAATAAGGATTCATTTCATTTTGATGGGATTAAATCAGTTGTTTAGACAAATTGTAATGTTTCAAGATTATAACTACAATTGAGAATTGAAAATACCAACATAAATGAGTTTTTGTAAGAAATTTCGTTTCATAGTATGTGGACGCCGAGTTGATATGAGATATTAAGGAGGAAGAATGCATTAGTAAAATCTCAGAAAATGAATTTGAAGTAAATTCAACGTTTCACCTGGGAATCTGATCCAAGCTCTTTCAAATAATTATAATCAAAATTATTGAATATAACTAAGTACATAGATTAACTTGAAATTCCTTTCGCTGAGATTTTACAAATACATTCTTCCTCAATAATGTCATACATGGATTTAAATTGACGATTATTCTGAACAAACATCAGCATATTGTGAAAAAATATTTATTTATTTATTTATTTTAACACATAGATATTGGTAAAAGGAGGCACCAAATACATATGCTCCACACTAATTTCATTTGATATGTGCGAGGGCTGTGATACTGCCCGGGTGCCCTAACCGAAGCAGGTGGTTGTCTTAGGCAGCCACAACTCGAGCCTTCGACATGAAGGTCTGATCCAGAAGGCAGTGAAGCATCGTAAGGAGATGCAGTCCCATGGAAGCCGGTGACCAACAATGGTTCATACACCATTTGTTCCCTCAGGATACTAGAGCCCATGTGCACCATTGGTTTGGAATCCGGTTAAAGCCGGAAATTCGCTTTTCGTCCTGTCATTTTTGTAAACAACACCCCCTTGACGAGAAGGCAGTGAGTAGGACATCCCTGGCAGAGGCTGTATACGCGTGGCCATGTGAGAGCATTTGGAGAGGGAGAGCGGAGTTTCCCCACTCTCTGCCATACCAGGGCATTTGGAAAAGTAATGAGAGTAAATAAAAAATTGTTAATGTGTCATATATGACAACCTGTCATGTTACTGACTTCATATCCACTTCCTACAAACCTACACTACTTCTACACTTCAACTCAAATAAATGAGAAAAAGTGTGAATTGTGAGTAAGAGCTCTTCTTCAACATTGGATACAAAAAGAAAGTCGAGTGTGTTCCTGAAGTTGCATGTAATCCAATTGCTCTAGAACTTTCTGAAAATATTCTAAATTTAATAATGATGATATCTCAATCATAAATGTGATTCTTAATTTTGTCGATGTTTCTGATAAGTTTCTACTCAATAATGATTGTGTGATGCACTTCCTGATGTGTTTTGTCTTTATATTTCTAGAGACTCTGAACAGAGATATTTATAAAACCCCTTAGGTTATTAAGTCAAAAAGGATTTCTAACTGTTTTCTTTAAAACACAGTCACGTCTTTAAAGCCTTTTTTCGGAATATAAGTTGTTTGTTCATTATTCATATTGAAAAGTCTCAAGGTTCAACCTGATGTGTTATATTGGAATTAAGGTTCTCAAAGTTCTCAAGTTTCCTGATAGAATGGTGTATAGAATGTATTCAAAATGTTCAGAATAATATCTTATTTCTTTCACACTGACAAAAACTCTTTGTAACATACATCTAAATCTATAAACACAATTGATGGTAACATGTAAAACTGAGTATATATAGATCTTTTATTAAATTATTGAACATGTTTTTATACATAAATATTAAGTTGATTGCAGGATGTATTAGAGATAATTCAGTATGTTGAATCTTCATATCCGTAAAAATCTTCGTTAAATTATACTAACCTGTTAAGTTTAAACCAGACACTCAGTTTATACTGTTTGAGATTCATCAGTTCAATAAATCATTTATTGTGTTATATACAATTAGTCGATTCCCAATAAAATATTACAAATCAACCAACCTATGAATATTGAAATTCCCCTGAATCAGTTCACTATTGTTATCATAAATATTCTTTGCCTTTTTTTTCTTTTCATTTTTTTGGAACTAAAAGTTTTATGATACAATAACATAATATGTTTATTCTAAAATCAGATTTTTTTCTGTTAACATATATGACAAACATTCATGACAAAAATTGTTTTGTTTACACTTAAAAGAGACAATTCAATTCAAGTATGTATCATATACAAGTAAACATACTCAACATTGAATCATTCGCTTCGATTACTATTACTGTTACTATTATTATTACTACTACTACTTGGATACAACAAATATTTACATATAAACAATATATCAAATATCTCTATAGACAGTTGTTTACTACTAAATATAAATAACATTACATTATATAAGAAGAAAACAATATTGAAAGAAGTAAATACTTTAGATATTCACAAAGAGTCTGAAACAATAAATTATCATTATGAAATTATTTCATTTCTATGATGTTGACTGTCAAACAACTACTGTAGTCATCATTGATATATATATATATATATATATATATATGCATAAGTCCTATTACAACATGTTCATATCCCTGTCAGAAGTATTTTATATATAAAATGAATATTAATTAATGGTAAACATTCCTAAGCATTTAAGTTATTTATTGTCATTTCTATTCTTATATAAATAGTAATATGTATTTATCATTGAAATGCAATGATGTTTTACATTCCAATAACCGGAACAATAATAATAGTACTGATTATTATTATCATTATAGTATGAATGCATTCAGTATGAGGTGTATGGCATATATAACATAAAGGTCTATATTAGTATGAATAAGAATGATTTTTCGTTTCATGTCTTAATAATATCAGAATCATTTATTGTTAATGTTTTGGTCAATTACACTTCAAATTATCAACCTAATATGAATAATAAGTTTATTATAATGAGATATTCTAACTTGAATAGTGAATAATATTGAAATGGTTGTTAGAATTTATTTATTATGAATAATAAATAAATGTTTATAATTTCAGCTAACTTTTCAAAAGTTTATATATATATTTGCGAAAATATTTCTTCAATGGTAACTTCTCTAACCGTGAAGCTGGGTGACATGGGATCGAATCTATCAGGAAGCATCGGTTCCCTCAAGATTACAGGTATACTTTGCTGACGAATGCCAAGTAGCACGAAACTTAGATCCAGGATTTCTTGTTAACTTCCTCCAACCACAATCTATAGATGATGATTAGCTAGTTTCGTGAGTTGGAATGTAAATCTATTTGTTTTAAAGGAAGTACTCCAATTGTTTCTGAATTTGGTTATTGATGTTACACTGGGATAAACCAGCTATGTAGTCTATATTATTGTCATCGATAGTTTAGCTAAATTTACGCAATAATGCAAACTGTAACTAAATAATCCTGAATGAAAAATTGATAAAATTAAAATATTAAACTACTGTTGAAAACCTGGAAACACTGGACGACCGTTTCATCTTAGTGCAGGATTCCTCAGCAGTCTTTATTCACGACCCCGCACCTGGGGCCTTAAACCAGGACCTTTGGCCTCGTTTGGGAATATTTAACCAAACAGAGTTGATATCTGACTTCGACCAATTCACGACGTCGCACCGCAATCTTCCATTGTCTCCGGTGGGTAACCGTTCCACAAACTACACGGTTAAACTCCAATAATCATGGCTTAACACTATGTATTACTAAGGAGTCTCATACTATAAGACAATGGTCATCTAGTGCTTCCAGATTTTTAATGGTAGTCTAACATTGATCGGCTCATGATTTAGAAGAAATTCAACAATCTCTACAACTATGACCTGTAAATTACAAGAGACCGTATTTACAAAATAATACGATGATTTCAAGTAGTAAAACATCAAAAATAGTTGATCTCTTCAGTTCTATAAGGTAAAATCTAATATTTTTGTCCCAATATTACGCATTTTATTCAGTTCAAGTATTATTTTATATTCTAGCTATTTATTTATGTCTCTTTCATACATTTCATAATTTAATAATTGTCGTAAGTGTACAAGTGTTAATTCATCCTAATATTATTGCCGCCTATCAGTTTAGATCTAATATCAGTTAGAGGAGATGCATTAGAGTACAGCTATTACAGTTTGTCTTTATCTTCCCAACATTGAGTGCAATAAACACAAATTCGTTGATAAATTCTCCGTATATCAAAAATTTTACAACAAAATTATTTGCTGTTATGTTTATAGTTTTCTGTTTGGAACTAAAATGCAGTTGAATACTGTAGTTATCAGCAACTAAACTACAGATGTCAGTTGAGTAGAGACAATCGTTTAGGAACCTTATATCCTTAATGTAGTACAGAATGAGAATTTTTATAATATAGACTGTATGGTTAAGAGAATTTAAATTCATAGTAGGACAAAATAAAAGATGTCGTTTCTATTCTCATGAAAAGAAATAGTTCTTTTAAAACGATTGCTAATCAAAATAACATCAAATAATGATGCACTCAGTATCGAGTTATTTACAAAATTGGACACATCGCAGTTTGAGCCATGAATAACTTCAAAGCAATAATTTATTTAAGTCAATATGTTTAGCTTCAGTCTTTCAATTATACATTCGTCCGTTGGCCAAACCTTTTCAGCAACAACTTATTGTGGAAGAGAACAAACTCGATTTCAGTGGAGGAAAAAATCAGAAAGAAGTGCTGGAAGTGGATAAAACATACATTGAAGAAAGCACGCAATTGTATCACAAAGCAAGCCCTCACTTGGAATCCTCAAGGCCAGAGGAGGAGAGGAAGACCAAAGAACACATTACGCCAAGAAATGAAGACAGAAATGAGAATGAGTGAACAACAACTGGTAAGAACTAGAAAGGGAAGGCCCAGAACAGAGTGGGGTGAAGAAAGCTGGTCGGCGACCGATGTTCCATTGGGAGTAATAGGCGTAAGTAAGTATGTAATAGAAAGTATAAACACATATTGTTTTCCAAAGTAGATTTCAATATCATTTTGACTAAATAAACAAATAATTACTTATTTTTAGATTATTAATCATGTTAGTAATTTAGGTACTAAAAAAGGCCTCATTCTCTGTCATTATTCCCAAAATTAGCTATATTTGTGCGTACAATTACATTTTAACAGATAAACATATAGTATCCAGGTCAAATGTTTTAGCCTTCCATTTATCAACTTCTCTAAAATATTACAATTAATCAAATATGTTTCTAATTTGTTTCAAAAACGATAATTATGAATACCGAATTGTTGATGTTTAACAACCGTTATCAATAAAAAGTTTTACAAATTATACCGACATTAAATACTAGAAAAGAGAGAATTGAAACACTACACTTGGTAGTTATACTTTCTTTGTATCTTCGATAAAATGAAAAAAAGTTAAATACGTTGAAATTCAAGTACGTTGTATGTGATCAAAAGAAAACAAAAGTATTTGTATCAATTGAAGTGATGAAAAACCCACTTTATTGGTTGAATTTAAAAGATGGAAGATACCGACGATTAAGAAAGACATTTTTAAATCAGTGCGATTTCAATGTATGTTAAAAAAGATGTTGATTGTAATATGCCTTAATTGGTTTCGTGCATTTTTTTTTTGTTTTCATTGTAATTATTACTAATTAAGATGATATCGGAATATGAGTTGGCTTCTAATGCATATAAATTCCTTTTCATTTAAAGATCTTTATGAATTCTCGTAACATCTAGTTATAGAAAAGATTCAAGTTCTTTTTATTATTTAGTTTGAGAATAAAACTGAATTCAGTTATTCATTATCTTACTTCTGTACTCAATCAGTTCCTTACTTGTGGTTGATTAGTAGTCTTGAAAGGAAGCTTATTATCCATTATTTGATAATGATTGTTATCATTAGTTAATATAAACACATTTTATTTAGTTATAAACTATCTAAGTTAATATACTCTACATTTTGAAATGGATAGGACATACATTACGGAAATCACCAAACTGCATTACAAGACAAGCGCTAACTAGAAATCCTAAAGGGAAGCGGAAAAGAGAAAGGCCAAAGAGCACGTTTCGTCAGGAAATAGAAGCAGATATGAAAAGGATGAATAACAATTGGAAGAAGCTGGAACGTATTGCCTAGGACAGGGAGAGTGGTGATGAGCGGTCTATGCTCCTCCAAGAGGAGTGACAGGCATAAGTAAGTCAGTAAGTAACTCTACATTTTCTCTTGCTTTTGATACTCTCGATGTTTTTTTTCAAGATCCCCTATCAAAACAAAATACCTACTAATTAAATATAAATACTAATACAAGTTAAACATAACTATTGCTAAGCAATTAGAAAACCACAACTCAACTTACCACCCGTATACGTTTTATTCCATAATGTAAATGTTTGATCTAAATGTGAATTATTCACATTATTTATTTTATCTATAAAATGAAAACAAAAATTCTTTTTATTAAATCATCAATATCAAGTATTTTTTTAGGTACATTTTTAAAGTTGGAAAATACATTTTGTGTAACTAAATAAAAACTTACATAAGACATCATTGGAGAGTCAGAGACTCTATTATATAATGTTTTTCAGAAGTGTTTATTCACTACTTCTAATCTTTCAAGGAATATTGAACTGAAATGAGTTCATGAAATTAATAACCTCTAGAAACCTCTATATTGATAAATTAAATCTGTTTCAAAATACCCATCGAATAAAAAACAATGAATTCAGTGAAAGAATTGTTTTTGATAAGTTCATTCATAGTAATGAACAGTCGTATATATATAATATCCTAATGAGTAGAAAAATTAAGTTTTTAAATTTTCTGACGTTTCGTAAATCAGTATGAGTCACTTCTTCAGAAAATAAAAAAATAACCAAATGAAATTAACCCAAGTTTAAATGGTACAAAGGAGCAAAGCAAGAATACTAAATGTGATCAAGTGAATGTCATGTCATTCCGGTCAAGGTGATTTATATGAGGCATATTTTTATATTTGTGCGTGTCTGTGTATAGTAAAGGATGAAAAAATGTGACATTTGTGGTGCAAACGGATAGATCAATACACTCTCATGTTACATTCAAATGACGTATGAGAATGAAAATGAACACGGTGAGCTATTATTTTTTATTGTTTAGTTAAAAGAAATCTAAGTGGAGCTCTAAATCTAGCCATCTACTGAAAATCATCGCATTCAAATCGCTTTATCGACTTCACTTCGGTGCATTCATTCAGTACGAAAATCTCTCTAACCCCAAATCTATTTAGAAGGGCAAACGAGATTATAACATCTGGAAAGGATAAGCAAATCGAATGAAAGCATATAAATAACATCTTACAACATAATATTTTTCCTATAAAGATTATTCAAAGTGCAATAAAACTAGACGCGTTACTGCTAAATAATAATCCGAATGAAATATCATGGATTGATACTGTGTGTTACAGTGTTACAGCAACACAGAATTAAAGTACATACAAAACAACGAACACACTTCAAAATAATTTAGTTCCCATAAAGGGAAAAATCCCCTTCTTGTCAACTCGGAATTATTTCTACAAATTAGGATGTGTCGATTGTGATGCCTTCTGTATTGCAGAGTCATCCCGCGAAATCTCGACTCAAGCCAAAAAACATTTTAAGTACACAAACAAACCGCCTAATAATCCCATAGAACTGGAAGAACTCCAAAATAAATCGGCAATAGCAGTTCATGTGATTTACAATAGCCATCAAATCAACTTTAAAAACATCAAAATAATAAAGTCTTTTCCGATTACAAAGAGAGTAGAGTAGCTGAAACTTTTCATATATATTGCTTAATCCTATTGCCCTCAATAGAAAAGAAGACCTCATTATTCATCCAACTTCGACCATCTATCCGAGCTACTATGTTTGATTTTATTCATATCTCACACCATTATCGTAGGTAGAAACTCAACTCCGTTCTTTCGCAACACAAATGTCACATTTTTTCATCCTTTACTATACACAGACACGCACAAATATAAAAATATGCCTCATATAAATCACCTTGACCGGAATGACATGACATTCACTTGATCACATTTAATATTCTTGCTCTGCTCCTTTGTACCATTTAAACTTGGGTTAATTTCATTTGGTTATTTTTTTATTTTCTGAAGAAGTGACTCATACTGATTTACGAAACGTCAGAAAATTTAAAAACTTAATTTTTCTACTTATTGGGATATTACAAATATCTTATTGCTCAAGTTATTTGAAATTATCAAGTTAAACCTTGATAATAACATCTATAATCACATATATTGTTCGTTGACCTGTAATCTGTCACTTTCTAGATAGTATAGTCTTGAATATAAACATTTTGGAAACTATTTGTAAGAAATGATGGATAGTGGCTAGCCGTGGAATCCAAGACGCGCGTTTCGTTCTATTTGGGACTCGTCAGCTGGATGTACCTGCACCTCAGAGTTGATGCTCACTCTAGGACTCGAACCCAGTAACATTCGCTTCAAATGCCATCGCGTTATGTACTCAGCTACTGAGTCCTGATAGCCACTTTCTTGTGCAATGGGGTGAATTTAAATTCACTTAGTATTGTTTGGTTTGTATCTTCCCATTGAGGTTTAAGACTACAATTGATCAGTTTGTTATTGGCATATGTGCATACTTTGCGAATTGCCCCGATATTTACTTATTTCACAAGCTTTTTGTAAGACTGCAATAAGACTGTATTCGGAAACTTAATAAATCTAAGCGTTGTAAAAATCGACTGCCAAAGAAACAGTGAAATATAATTCACAGTTATTCCCAGTATAATAAAGACTTAATTGCATTATTAAATGTATTTACACGAATTTTTAATTATTGAGGGTTCATATGATTTAATGTTAATTCTGTAGTAGTAATAATTCTATAATAACAAGTCAACATTCCTGATAATAAAAGCATCTTGAACAATACAAAAGACCCTGTTTTACTTGTTTACATTTGTTTACGTTTTAATACTTATCAGAAAATATTATTCATTCAAACACCATTTAGGTGTAATATACTCTAAGTAGTCAGTTATATGTTACCTTTTATATCGTCGAAAAATGTATGAAAAGAATAGTTAAGTAGTAGATCTCATGCTACGAAGTAAATAAGTGATATATTACCATTTCTAACACAACTGTGGTAATAAGTTTACTCCAAATCTTGTTGATTACATCAAAAGATTACTTGATTGATTCCAAATTATAAAATAAATTTGTATAGACAAATTGTCTGAATAAACACTTAAATAAAATATGAACATAAGAAATGTATGCATCGTTTCTAATAATATAACCATGTTTGGAACATTATCAATAAGGTAGAAATACACTTTAAGAGGAAGTATCTATAATAATATGACCTATATAGAGTACAAAAGTTGGAACAAAAACACCACTGTCAACTTACTGTAAATAAAATCTCCAGTGTAATATAGGAAATTACACATTAAAACATAATAGACTATAATTGCACCAAAAAGAGCTAACATAGAAAATGAGATTGCCAAAATGTAACCAGGTTTTCCTAAATGATATTGACATACGTCTGTAAACTCAATGTCAGCAGATGAACGAGTATTTTGTATAACTAGAATGAAAAAAAAACAATAAAGTAATAAAAAAAACTATTAACAATCTGGGTAATCGTACATTGTTGATCTGTATCTTAAATTGAGTGGATCTAGACACTAACACTGTTAGATGTTGACTTGGTATTGTTGAAGTTAGGTGTTTGTGGACGAGATTGAAGCTAGTGCGCTTGATTCCTTGTGGTGGGGTCATGGACACGCACCGCTGGACGAAACTGGTGTCCAGTACCTTCTGGTCTTCAGTGGTTGCCTAGATAAGATCAGCTCTTGGTTTGGACTATGAAAATATGCATTCAATTATTGATTTACGATAGTTATTGATGAAACTATGTTTAAAATATAATTTTATCAAACAAGTATATAACAACGTGGAAAGTATTAAATAATATAAAGTGAATATTAGGCACTGAAGAATCAAAAAATAAATCAAAGTAAGAAATCGACTGATCTAATTTACTTCAAAAATGTAATGTGATATTCAACAGACTAGTAAATAACTTGTTGGAGTCTGAAGCGAAATGTACTGGGTTTGAATCTCGGTATGAACATCAACACTAGAAACCAGGTATATTCGTATGCCTAAAACCTAATACGACGAAAAGCTCGTCTTGACTTCCGCTCCTAACCACCATTCAACAACGTGTGATATATAGCTTTTCTAAATTTGATCTCTAAGAATATATAATGGATGATGTGAGTTTAGAAACCATTCTGACTAAATGTTTTTAAGCCAAGTAAAAACTGTATCACAAAGTAACTACGTCGGAAGTAAAATTAACGATTTTAATATAATATTTTAAGAAATACTTGGATATTCATAGAATATCTTAGTGTCTCTCTGCGAATTAGTCCATTGAGTACTCCGGAGTCACATTTCGGGAGCCAAAAATGTCTAATAGGAGTTCATGTTCTCTCATAAGGCAGAGACGACGATCACTGACTATTTAATTAAACTCTTTGATTGGAAACATCTAATTTATTTCTTCTTCCTTTATTTTTCGAAGATTATCAGTAGGAGTGAAACAAGTATTTCATTGGTTATACAACCACTTAAAAATATATTTCATTTGTTATTGGTTTGAATATCTTCAAAATTAGGATAGTTCCTCTTTTCTTCAAAGACAAATACAACATAATTCATAATCCATTGGAAAGGTTGACATTTGTGATAACATGGCAGAAACTCACAAATACTTCAGTACCCAAAAATAATTCTAAAATTCTTCCTTCATATTCAGTTTCTGATCTACCCACTGAAAGAATATAGTTTACCTATGCTGCGGATCGAACGATGTGTGTAAGGCTTATTTTATGTAAAATTTTGTAATATGCCTGAGGAAATTATAAACTACTAATGGTAGTCATGTATGCAGGATTGATCATCAATGTCTTGGTTGAGAATAGCTCACAAGATTGAGTTGACATTTCCACTTGTAGATACGCTTCAATGAAAGTTAATTTAGAAAACGATATACCGTCGTTGAACATAGTGAAGATGCATTCTGGTATAAGTGACATGTGATAATGTTTATTAGTCACTAGTCTTTAGGGCTAAATGTCAAAATAACTTGATGTTATCAAGAAAGATGAATAGTGACGAAAATTTTTATGTTACAGCCATGAAAGTATGAAAGAGATGCAAAAAGATAACATATCACGTATTTCTACATAACTAGCATTTAAAGTTAAAATGGGCTATCAGGAATCTATAAGATTAAAGAAATCTTTTCTTATACATTATGCAATGTTGAATAACTCGAATTTTATCCTCGACAGGAAATTGTCGATAAAGGCATTTTCTATATAGTTAAACATAAATAAATCATCAAATATGATCAAAGAGCAATTGGAAAAATAGATTATCAGGACTTCATATCTCTGTACAAGCATAATAATACAATCCGAATTAACAATAAATATATTTTTAGTTCAGAAGGGTTTATGTAGATGTTACAGTAATATCAATGGTTGAGAACATGAGTCAATTGAAGCTAGACCACCATGTGTTCGAATCTTGCTAGGCGGGTTCATGGATGCACAGTACTAAAGAGTTCAACAGTTGAACGAAACGGCCATCCAGTGCTTTCAGGTTTTCCATGGTGGTCTAGTTTCAATTGTCTCATGATTTCAACCATTAAAAAAAATAGTTTTGTTGTATTCCAATAAGTAGAAAAAATTGTGTTTCTGACGTTTTGTGACCTAATGTAAGTCACTCTACCATATGCTCAATTAATTTGAAACTATGAAGTTCAACTTTGACATTGATACCGAATTAACATTCATTTATAGTCATTTCCAATGTTTCATACATTTGAAAATCAAAATATGATAATCTAAACATCGATAGTGAATAACATTTTTCTTCAGTTAATTAATCTCTTATGGTCCTATAGATAAATAAAATAATCAATATCGGCCGGTGTTTTAACAAACAATTTAAAACCTTTATCATGTTTAACATTCTATTAATTTATTATTATATTCATTATATAAATAAGTGACTATAGTGACTAGTTAAATGAAAGATAGTTTTACATTATATAGGGAAAACTGATTCAGCAAAGTGTTCTCTTTTCGACGAATTCATTTTCAAAGCTGTACAATCACAATTATATATATACTTATGTTTTTTCTCAGGATGATAATGATTACAATAACAATGATAACAAACCTCTGTTAGACATGGTAACAATGAGCTAGAATAAACAAAGGTATTAAAAAATTTTAAAAACAGGGGAATTAATAATCAGAAGGGCTTTTGTGAAGATTGTAGTAATTTCAGTAGTTGAGATTGAGTTAATTGAAGCTAGATTACCATGAAAAACCTGTACGCACTGGACAGCCGTTTCGTCCTATTGTGGAGTTCTAATGAGAAACCGTGACTAGTGGAGTTCAACCGGGTCTGTTATGAGATAGTAAATCATTGATGGCAATGGTAGACGTGTCGCTCAATTTCGTGGATTAGTTGAAGTTAGACATTAACACCATTGGATACCGGCTGGCTCAGTGGTTTAGTGAGTAAGCGCTCGAGCGTGAGACTGATGGGTCCTAGGTTCAAATCCCACGAGATGGGGTCGTGAATGCGCACTGCCGAGGAGTCTCACAATAGGATGAAACTGCGGCCCAGTGCTTTCAGGTTTTCCATGGTGGTCTAGCTTCGATTGACTCATGATCTCAACTATTGAAACTAATAATCGTTTGATTGTTAATGGCTTAAATATTCATCAATAGATAGATAGCGAAATGATCATTGGGAAAGGGTGGCTCAACATAATAAGATAAAATGTTGGAATTGAGATTAAATGTAGTCAAAACGATCATAGAACCAGAAATAAACCAGTTGGGGGTAGAAGGTGTGAGGAGAAGATGGGGAAGTAGATGGCTATAATGGAAGAAGAGTATGAAGAAAAAAATTAAAAATATTATAAGACATTAAGACCATGGACGAAGGAGAGGTTTTATCAATCTCTTTTGAACAAACAATTCTGGTTTTCCCAGATTTATGGCTGTTGCTTAGGCTATGCTAAGAAGATGCAATATGATTGCCTTTGGAAGTCTTCAAATTACCTTGTAGATGACTTTGAACGCAGAGTTCATCTTCATTGAATGACCTTCGTTCACAAGGTGTTCGATTATTTAACTTCTTATTGAGCCGTTTCCTCCTCCTCTTAGCCACACGGGATAATGTTCTTGAGTTCTCTTGGAAAAAGTACGCATCGAACGACCTGTATATCTGGTTCCACGTGAGCGGGTAATTGATAAATGTACATTGAATTGGTCAGATGAGATAATTTATCCTTAATATTATTGATGAACAATGATCAGCTGGAGAAAACTGTTCGCAACGTTGCTGCGTAGAACGTTCTTTTTAAAGAATGAGAACTTCTCTTTAAGACGTATATGGCTCTTTCACCAATAACGTCCATGTTCATGTATGATGTTTTCTTTCAGATTGAAGTTATTTGTGTTTTTGGCGGTTTTGGTTTTCTGCTCTTGTCATTGAATATGGAAGTATTTTTTTCGAGAGTCCCAGTTCGTCATCTATGACCTCGGGACTACAAATTCTTTGTATTCGTGTAGTAAGTGATATTATTAAGTTTCTCTTTCGACCAATGGGGATCCATCTATGTTAACTCTGTAGTTGACCATTCCACATGGGTTTCCTGTAGATAGATCTTCTTGGAGTTCCGCCTTGTTTTCTTGTCATTTCCACATCAAGAAAGTGAATATTTTGTTTGTTTTCAACTTCAAGTGTGAAATTTATTACTGTGTGACATTTATAAATGTCTTTAAAAGATGACTCGGGTCATATTTGTTGTCACAGATGATAAGGATATCATCTACGCACCTTTTATACAGGTGGAAGTTTTCTATAATCGTTTTATGTTGATCGTTTTATAGAGTGGTCATGAAGCAATCTGCTGATAATTGACCAAGAAGGGATCCCATTGCTATGCCATCTTTTTGTCTATAAATTACGTCGTTGAATATAGACTGTACATCGCAAGTGCAACGTAGAAGTAGTTCCTTCAAATGAACTTCCGGTATTCTGATGTTAACTGGTGGTCACTGTAAGTGGAACATTAGTGAATAGTGATTCGACCTCCAAAGATAGCGTTATTTTGTCATTTACATTAACCTCTTTTATGTGTTCAGTAAATTCAAAAGTATCATGTACGGAATGTCTACAAATGCGTTTTCTTAAGAGTTCTAGGAGATCTACCAGCCACTTTGCTATAGAGTGTTAAGAAGTTCAGGACATATAAGTTTTACATTAACTACACAAAGCGTAATCCATTAATTATTACTATGAATAATTAGCCTGACAATTCATTTGTTTGACATTTCATGTTACAAACTGATTTTAGATGATGATTACACAATAATATCACAATCTGAATTTAGTTAGGAATGTAAGCCATTGGATTTCAGGCCATTATGCACTTGCCACTTGATGTGAAGATTCAGGACTCAATCTATGATAAGATCATGGATACTTACTACTGAGAAATCCTATATTGACAGAAAAGCTATCTAATTCTCGCTGTTTTTCAATGATCATTTAACTAAGATTAGTTTGTGGTTTGAAATTTTAGATTCTACAATCTTCACAATATTTTGTAGTAACAATCTATATTATTTGCTTAACCTTAAATTGAAATATGTCATAAACCTGTAGATCATGTGTCTACCATACTAGGCATTCATTTGTTTTAATGAAATTTATTAGTAATTGGAGTATGAAAAAGCTTTAAAAGCTCCTTAGTCAAATGGCAGAACATTAATAACTAACACTTATTGGATCTGCTTTTTCTTTTTCTTTTCACCAAGGTCAAATCAGAAATAAAGATTATGAATGACCGAATATTTATGTTTACATAATAGAATAGTAAATAATAAATATCAAAACTGTATTTCATTCAGACATTTACAAACATATGGAAGAATTATAATTGATGTTTCTATGCTAATATTCATAGACTGAATATATAACTATTCTGGAATAAGAGCGTAAATAGGACGAAACGCATGTCCTAAATTCCACTGCTAGCCACTATCCATCTTTGCATATAATATTATCGTTATACTTATGTAATCTTTAAAATATTAGATAAAATGTAATTGATGAACTGAGTACAGATTAGATAAGAAGTGAGAATTAATAATGGTGACCTCATTCATAAATTATTTTTTAAGTAATACTTTTCTTTCCATGGTCGTAATTCTTAACTCTTATTTGATCTGTACTCAGTTAAGTCATTTTGTTTTCTTTGTGAAAATGATAATTAAAGTAGCATTAGCTATTGAATGTAAATGGTTTCAACGTTTCGTCCAGCAAACTTCTTCAGAATAATAATCAAAATCAAGATTATCAAAGAATATATGTGTTTAGTAAACAAATTAAATCTTTACTGTGCTTATCCAATCAGATTTAGATCTTGACATCAAGCTGACCAAGGCAATAGAGTTCAATGACCACAATCTAGCGTTTCTCGATTGTTTGGTTGAAAGGAGACAATAATAAGTTAAAAGTAAATACATTTAGGAAATCAACACATTCTCAAATATACTTAGATTATGGTTCACAGTTGTAAAAAGATAATTAACAGGAATATTAACCTCATTACAGAGAAGGATTGTAGACAGGTTGAATTGAATAGAATATTGTCTAACAATTACTACAGAGAGTTTTTAAAGATTATTACAAATGAAAGGAAAATTAAATTAGAGTGTATACCGAAAAATGGAAGACCACCGTAATCATCCCATACTGTAGCAAAAGTAGGAAGCAATTAAGAGGATTCGAAACAAACATAATATAAGAGTGTATTTTCTTGCTAGTTATTCCATAAGATCAGCATTAGTGAAAATTAAGGATAATTTTTCAAAGGAATAACAACAGAAGTTTGTCTATGAGACCAACTCTTATGATTTTAATGCAGCTTATGTAGTTTGAAAGGATTGCAAACAACGTTTAAAAATGTTCCCAAATCCTCGATTTATCTGAAGAAACTTGAGAAAAGGTCGGCGATAGAGTTATATGCGTCAGAAACAGTTAACATGACTGATTTCGAAGGGAACAAAATACTTCAGGAGGGTTTTGGCAGTCATAAAGAAAAATTGACAGCAGAAGCGCCGTATATATAGGCTCTTTCTTGCCACATCTGGTTGATGGTGTTCATACGGTACATAAAGCTGAATCATTCCGAGTAGTCTATCATATGCCTTCGTCAGTGCCTAGTGGGGCTCAACATCACCTTCTATATACAACAGAATTTATGGAGATTCGAACCTGTATCCCTAGTTTATGTGTTCAGAATACATTCGTGAAACCTCTGTCTCTTTCTTGGCCGAATATCACTTAACAAATTAATTTATTGAATTGTTCGTCATTTTTTAAACTTTACAGTTTAATTATTTACACACATTTTACTACGCGATTTAGTAATCTTTTGTGAGGATTATTTTAAAGTTTATTTATCCACGTACGACCTTCTTCCTATATTGAACTATTAATTTGAACCTTATTATTAAGTTTATCACTGCTAGTAGACCTGTCTTCTTACTACCAATTTGTATATTTTATCTATAGTGGGTGGTTATGCAATCCATTTCATAGTGACCACTGACTCATAAGTTGTCTTGATTAGCTTAATACTTTTATATGTACATAAAAAAACAATGATCAGTCTTGTTTGTCTCTATGTATTGTTCGAATTATACGTAACGTGAATTTTTAGTATTTTAACATTAAAATGACAATAAAAAACGTAACGCTCAGGATGCTTAAGTGAATATTTCAAAATGTAACACATTTAAGATACAATTTATTTCTGACTTTAACGATGATTAAACTTGAATGTGAACTATTGACAGCATGATTAATAGAGTTCATTAATGGTGGAGAAGATTTGTAGCTCAGGTGGATGATTTTGGTGAAGTATTGTTCTCTGAGCTGGATGGTTTGGTCGTGGAGCTTTCATCGTTCTTCTGAACGACATCATCAGCACAAACTTCAAATAGACTCCAAATAGACTTCTATTTGAAGTTTGTGCTGATGATGTCGTTCAGAAGAACGATGAAAGCTCCACGACCAAACCATCCAGCTCAGAGAACAAAACTCCACCAAGAGTTCATTAATAATGTGAAGATAATCGCTACATAAATTACATCTTCAAACAATAATAACTGATTGTACTATTTTCAAAATGATTAATATTACAAGACGACAGATTCAAGTGCATAAAAATGGGGAAAGATGTTTAAAACTATTCACCAATGCGAGGGTGGATGTTACCAACAAATTATAACCAAAGTTATTTTTATGTATTCAATCTTTCATCCCTGAACAATTCGATTGATATGCTTTAGGTTTCTATTCTACAATATTCACATATATACCTCATAAAAATCTATATTGTTTTGGTGGAGTTTTGTTCTCTGAGCTGGATGGTTTAGTCGAGAACAAAACTCCACCAAAATCATCCACCTGAGCTTCAAATCTTCTCCACCATCTCAAAATCTATATCGTAAAATGCTCATTATTAAAAATTAAAAAAACAAACAAACAATTTACATATATGTAAAAATAACAATGATAATCATTAAGAATATTACATACTTTTCAAATCTTCTGTTGCCTTCAATACAAGATAAGCACAATACCAAGCAATGAATGCGACAAATATAATTAAAAATATACCCAAAGCGAAACCAGCCTATTGAAAAATAAATGATAATGAAAAAAACAACAGTAATAATAATAATAATAAAATCAGTTGATTGTGACAAGCCGATGGTTTTTCGTTCCTCTCACTCACTCACTCACTCACTCACTCACTCACTCACTCACTCACTCACTCACTCACTCACTCACTCACTCTCTCTCTCTCTCCTTTTCTCTACTTTTAAGACAAGAAAGTTATTATTACTATTATTAACATACCTGTTGATTGCAAAACTAAAATAGATTGATCACATTGAAATATGTTGTTATTTACTACTTATGAATTTATTCAGTATACAATAATACATATGTTTTCTTTGTAATAGTCATATCTGTCTATTGAGTTAACTTATAATGTGATTTGATAATATTTTCAGTAAAATTCCATACAAAAAATAATAAGAAAAACAAAACAAAACTGAAAAAGTTGAGTTTTACTTCATAAGAAAATAATCAGTAGATAGTGAATTATATGGAATCGATGAAACATAAAACGCTTGTCTACTTTATTAGTTTACGAAAATTATTTAGAATAATATTTTGTGATTTGAACTACTGATGTCAACAGATATGAGTAGTATGTGTTATCAATTGAAAATAAAATGCCTGGAGGCAGAAGGTTAAGAAGATTAAAGAAAAGAAAATGATAACAGAGAATGATTGGTGTGAAGATGGAGGAACGATCAATTCTGAGACGATTGATTGACATTTTACAAATGAATAATTTATTGTGTGGTTTTTAGATTTTACTAAGATATTCTGTAATTTTGTATTCAAATACATTCGATTGTCCCATTCTCATTCACTACAATTCTACCATAAACAGGTCTTGTTATGAATTTATACAGTAAAAATAGCTATTGCCTTATTTATTCAGCATAGTTATTTCTATTAACAATGGTAAATTATGTTAAGTTTATCAATGCTGAATAAATTATAATGTCAAAGAAAAATCGCGATCATAGATATGGAAAAAAGCCTATGTTTGTATGTGTTATTAAATAATTATCATATAAATCTTAAATAATTTAAACTGTGGTGAAGGGAAAAATATATTAACAAGAGTAATACAAATAATCAAAGAGTAATCAAACATGGTATTATTAAAGAGTGACCAAATTTGCATTAGGTGGAAATTTTTTGCAGGAAGTTCAATAATTAGAATTTATTCAATTTTTTTCTCTATTAAATCGGTATGAAAGTCAGGTAATACCAAAACCCCTTAATTCTCTTTCTAAAATAAGAGGTTGAAGTTTAGGGAGGAATTTTACATACATAGTGAGTCATATGTCCTAGGAACAGAGACGATTCCTTGGTCAGTTAAATGTACTTATCATTTGATCAGTTTCTGACTGTCTCAATATATCAACCTTCGTTAGGTAGTGGTTGGAGGTAGTCGACAGGAAACCCTGAACCCGGATTTCGTGCTACTTGGCAATCGTCAGCAAGGTGTACCTGTAATCTTGAGGGAACTGGTACTCCCTGACGGATTTGATCCCGTGTCACTCAGCTTCACATTCAGAGACATTACCGCTGAGCTATCCGAGCCGTGACTAACCTCCTGTAGGACTGAGATGTAATCACAATTGATTGATCACTGGGTGGTGATCAATGTCATGTATGTCAAGTACTTATTATTGCAGATCGAATGCCATCGATCATGTTGCAATGTGGCCAACAGTCTAGGTGACTCGACACTGCGTTTCCTGTCGACTACCTCCAACAACCATCTAATCTCAACATAGTGCACGCAGTGTCGAGTCACCTAGACTGTTGGCCACATTGCAACATGGTCGATAGCATTCGATCTGCACTAATGAGGACTTGACACATATAACATTGACAACCACCCAGTGATCAATCAATTGTGATCAACCTTCGTCTCCAATAACAGGTTTGACCCCCAGGATTCAGCTGAAGGTTTCGTCATAGGGACGCAACAATTGTAATTGATGGTTCGTCTGTTAAAAGATATATGGTACAAAATTCAGTGTTAATGGTGTATGACTGGAAAAGTACTATGAATGTAGTATAACAATATCAACTTGTAGACTGATAAATAATTCATATAATTATCATCATTTGTGTAAAATGAGGAAGCTGAATCTATATACCTGTTGATATTGGAACACTTCAATACTGTTCATTTGAAAAATTGGTTGATAGTGCAAACTAAAAATCATTGGAAAACGTACGAGTTTACTCATGAAACCTCCAAGAGTGAAAATGAGGGTATTCTAGATCTGATATTAGCACACTGACATGTGATCACTTGTATATTGTTTAATGCACTAGATTTCTAACTTCAGTTAATTAGTGACTTGTTTATTGTCTGATACCAGAGAAGGATAAACTTCATAGACCACAACTTCATGATATGATGTTCAGAAATCTCCTCACTAGTAAGCACACAATTATTACCTAAATATACGTTTTGTTAAAAGGACAGTTTACAGCATGAATAAACTCTAACAAGCACTTTTTATTTTCAATGATTGTCTATTTAAAATTAACCAATGATGTAAACTAACTTTGGATTACATAATACAAGAAAACGTTACAAATTTTACTTATTATTATAAACAAACCTACCTACCGGTAAAACTACCGATATTATTGAAAAAAAAAATATTTATTTCAATGTACTATTATTGAATTAAATATAAATAGCTTACTTGTTGTATAGCCCATGGCATTACCAAAATCGATGTACCCATTATTGTATTCCATATCGTAAAACTGAAGTGAATAAATTAAAAATAAGTTGAGAATTAGCCCCTTCAAAAAATCATAGTTTTCAGCACTAGTAATTAATGGTTGAAATCATTAGTCGATTGAAGCTAGACTACCATGGGAAACCTGGAAGCAATGGACGGTCGTTTCGTCACAGTATCGGACTCCACAGCGTGCGAGACTGATAGGTCCTGGGTTCGAATCTCGCGAAGGGAGGCGGGACCATGGATCCTCACTGCCGAGGAGTCGCATACTAGGACGAAACGGCCATCTGGTGCTTCCACGTTTTCCATGGTTGTCTAGCTTCAATTGACTAATGATTCCAACTATTGAAATTACTAGTAATTAAATAAATGTATTCTAAATTTATGGTAACGATAGATTGACATTCATATCATACCTGAATGTTTAACTCTATTTACTAATAACATAAAAAGTAGTTCATTGAATTGTTAATGAAAAAAATATGTCTATAGGTATCAATATCAAGGTTAGATTTGATAGTTTCAAATAAATTGAGCATTTGATAGAGAGTTAATAATAGTGTTATATTCGTCCAGTTATAGCCGTCCAGTGCTTCCAGGTTTTTCATGGTGGTCTAGCTCCAACTGACTCATGATCTTAACCATTGAAATATCCCAATTAGTTGAGAAATAGTGTTACTGATGTTTGTGACTTAATGTAAGCCACTTCTTCGGAGTTAATAAATAACCGAATTAAATTAACGCGTTTAAATAGTACTATTTAAACTTGTGAAAGAAAATGTTTGCTTCAGCTTGAATAGTCAAGAAAATTTTTTTTCTTTTAGGAAGTGAAAAATGTCGGTAATCTATAAAAATACTCGTAATGTTTTATACTAATGAACAAATATGCTACAGAATAGATACAATGTAATTATTAAACTAGATAAAATAAGAAAACAAATCATTTAAACAGTTTAAATGATATACCCAATCCTAAATCTTGTAATTTTGTTATGATCTATTTTGAGGATGCTTTTTTTGTATTGTAAGCTGTGGAGGGAAACAGGTTAATATAAATTTCGTTGAATATTTAATATTATAACTGGAAATCATTTGTGATCATTGATACATTTATATATTATGTTAGCTTTATTAAATGTTCAATAGAAATAATCTTTATTCTTAACAGACAATAAAAGACCTAACGGTACCAAGGTCGTCTTAAGAGTTATAGCTTGGATATTATGGTTAACTTCAAGTTTCAAGGATTTTTATGATAAAGTAATCGCTTGAGTAAATTACTACAAATATTTGAAAATTTTGAGTTTTCCAACTAATTCCACGCTCTTCATATTCTTAGTCAATCCAATAATGAAAGTAAGTTATATAGATTCAAAAATGATTACATTAACGATAAACATAAAACAGATATTATAGTGAAGTTGACGAATGATAATATCGACTAATGTGTCTGCCATCGTATCATTTTGTGAAATAAACTCAATGTTGATAAATGAAATTTTCAAAATTGATTCACTATTACTGATCAGTTAATTAAATAACTATTTCCAATCAGATAATAATTAAAATGATTAATGAATTAACTAGTTGACAATGATATTACAAGTGTGAAATATGTTAAACATGATTGAAAATTTAATTAGTTTGTCATTTTAGTCAACACCATTAGATATCACATGTTTACCAATTACTTACTATATGAGTAAAGAATGATGATAAATATTTTCGCATGACACACACATTAAGTGGTTTTCCATTAGATGATATTATTATCAGAAGGGTGTTTTGTGGATATTTTAGTAATTTCAATAGTTGAATTCATAAGTCAATAAAGCTAGACCACCATGGAAAACCTGGAAGCACCAAACAGCCATTTCGTGAATTGGTCGAAGTTATACATTAACACCACTGAATGCTGGCTCAGTGGTCCAGAGGTTGTGTTCGCGCACGAGGCCGATAGGTCCTGGGTTCGAATCTCGCGGGGTCTGGGATCGTGGGTGCGCACTAACACTGAGGAGTCCCATACTAGGGCAAAATAACCTTCTGGTGCTTTCAGGTTTTCCATGATAGTCTAGCTTCAATCGACTCATGAATTCATCCATTGGGTATCAATTGATTTTTAAAACATAATTTTTGATCATTTACCGTGTGCTAACAAATTATTGAAAGGAACAATCAAATGTACATCAAATAACAAATCGACTAGTAATACTGGTAAATACCATCATATTATATCGATCAATGGGCACAAATAAAATTATATGTATTAAATAAAGTCTAATAATATTTGGCAAAGAATAAATATACGTACTAAAAATTGTATTTATGAATAATTTTGTAGAGTAGCTTAAAATCATCAAATTACTTTATTGCCTGTCAAAATGTCTAGACATGTTTTTGTTTTTGCCAGATTAGAATATTCAAAAGACATCATTTATTTACTAGCATATTTTATGAATTTAGATAAGGTGGAAAATTTAGTAAAAATAAAAGTTGGATGCCGGCTCAGTGGTGTAGAAGTTAAGCGCTTGCGCGCGAGACTGATAGGTCCTGGTTTCGAATTTCTTGGGGGGCGTGATCGTGGATGCGCACTGCCACTGAGGAGTCCCATACAAGGACGAAACGGTCGTCCAGTATTTTCAGGATTTCCATGGTGATCTAGCTTCAATTGATTCATGATCTCAACTATTGAAATTACTAAAATCTACACAATACCCCTTCTGATAAAAATAAAAATAAGAACGATTTTTTAGTATGAGGTTAACTAATTTTTTTTAACGTTCAATACACATGTAATATTTAATATTGTCGAGTATTATTTTGTTTGTTTAGAGGATGAATGGTGTATATAAGACCATGCTTTTCATTGAGAACTTCATTTTAATCTAAATAAATTTTCTGTGAACATGTCATTGTAGTTCAATCCAACTTGCTGAATGAAATAAGTATATAGAATGAAAGTTGGTGCTTGAAATGGCGTTTTCAGTGAAAATTATGCTCTCAAACAAACCACTAACCCCATAAATGAACAGCAAAGTGCTCTAAAATACAGTAAATCCCATACATATTAAACATTTAGGGACAGATGTGTTACAAACCCACAGATACGTATCCTGTTTCACTTTCTATCTTCATTTATTCTTAATGAATTTTTAAAAATGAATACAACATATAAAATGATCTGTTTTGCAGAGGGTTTAGTGTTGCATCTTCAGTATTCTAACGATGATATTCGATGGCTGTAATTTATTTTTCTAGAAATATCAATTAAATTTAGACTTTTACACCAGTAGATTCCCGGCCAGTTGTCTAAAGCTTGAGCATTCGTACACGAGAATGAATGCTCTAGGTTAGATTCATCACTAACTGGCGTCATTTGGATAACTATTGAAAGATGTGGGGAGTGGTGAACGACGTTTTAGCGCAACTGAATTTTGTCGTTTAAACCGCAGACTAACCTTGGCCACATAACTAATGATAATCAGGAAAAACTAGATAGCTGTTTCATTCTAGTACGGGGCTCATCAGTAGTGTACATTAACGACTACACTCAGTAGTTTAGAGGTTAAGATCTTGTCCAGAAACCTTCAGGTCCCGAATTCAGTCTTCAATGTGACCGCGGATGTTGGGAGTCTCATGTCTGGACAAAATAGATATCCAGTGCTTCGTCGTTTCTAATGCTCATCCAATTAAGGAAAGTCTGTAATATAAATTACACAAGAACTTTTAATCTTACCGTCTGATTACTCAATACTGAAAGCTTAAGAATTCATACGAGTCGTAAGCTGTCTAAACTTCTGTTTAGACGGATCATTTCGACTATTAATTCAATGAATACTGACTCGGATATGTAACTCGATAATATGACGAGATCCCTAATAGAATAAAGTTGGTTATAATAAATGTTTACTCAAACTATCTGTAATCTGCAAATATTGGTTTCTAATGTATAATGAGCTTTAGGTATGATATTATAGAACTAATTCAAGACTTCATAAGAACATAGATACTTTTAGCAGTAAGATGTTTAAGCCTTTGTTTAATAGACCAAACAAATAACAGTTTGCAATTTCAGTTGTTCCTAGTTGTGAATTTACAAATGAATTAACTAGTAATTGAACTAACTAAAACCTTCCGGCATTAAGTGTTATCGTGCACTGAACTTCAATTATTTCAGATAATGACACCAAACCATTTGGCTCATAAGATATGGAATAGTGGATTCTATAAAAAATAACTCAAGTTAAAAACAAATGGTGGATTACCATGATCATCAAGATCGTTTAAGATGTCAGTCAATCGCTAAATGATGTCATCAGTTGTATCACTTAATGATAATCTAAACCTGGAGTTAAGCAGTATTTCTTTCACAAATACAAATATAATGTTACAATGAACCCCAAATTCACGTTAAAAAATCTTTATTAAATGCCGATGTCTATAGTAAAACTTCGACTTTATCCAATTGTAACACACGTGGCCCTTTTAACCGGTTTAACCTTTTTAAAGGAAATAAATGATTTTAGAAAAACAGTTTCACGTAAACAATGGAAATGTTTCTATCTTTCGATTTATCGATCTGTCTGTTTATCTATCTGATTGTTTTTTGTTTTGTTTTTGTTTACCTTTCTTTCAAACTACTGGTAAGTGCATCTTTGATTTTTTTTTCTTATTCTTATAGTGATTTTACAATTAGATCTCTGATATAAGTCATCAGTTTCTTCATACATTTATTTCCATGTTAATGATAAATAAAATAAGAATGAAAAACGTGATAGAATAATGTAACTTTTATTTATCTCATGGATTCTCATTAGTTATCGCTTTCAATCAAGAAATTTTAGTAATGATTATTTATAACCAATGTGAATACTTTCGATAACATTAGTGAAGATTAGTAGAATAACCACAACAAATATGGAAGTTTTTATGACTTATCCTTAACCTGTCTAGTTGACCTTTTAATTTTCAAATATGGAAGTACTGTGAAGTGGTAAAGTGGATGAATATTTAAATTTCATT